TCACTGGGGAGCTCAGAATAAAAAGCTGGAGGAATTTTTTTTGTTATTAACACATGTTAAATCACAGCTAGAATTCTTTGCATTCTTCGGCTTCGAACAAAGGAGCGCACAGTTACTGGGAGATGGCAAACCTGTTTGAGTTGGTGGTTCCTGTGATGCTTTCCTCAGTCCAACATGAATTTGTACAAGGTCACCTTCCTCCTTTTAACACTTGAGTTCCAGATCATAGGGCTTAGCAATGGAGAGAGGATCCCAGCAGCCTTGTGCTTACCTGATGAGCTCTCCAGGGAAACTGCCCCATTAAATGCTCCCCTCTTGTGACAACAAGCCTGAACAACCAAATGCAGCTACATTTGAGTGGTAAGCACCACTTTCACTTGGATTTTTTAGGGAGGTGTGTTCCAATAACTTCAAGGGATACTGTGTTATCAATGTGTGGTTTCTTTCCTCTCTCCTTATAAAACTGGACCTGAACACAAGTTTTGAGTTGTTGGGGTTTGTTTTTGTTTTGGTTTGGTTTTTTTGTAATAATCTCAGGACCTGAAAGATTGTAGCATTTAGTGTGTCTTAAAAATGATGTACTGTACCAGCCATGGATTTTGTAAATACACCTGTCTCCCTTTTTTGTATTTTAATTTTTTAAAAGTGTGTAAGGCTCTTTGCCAGAGGAACTGGTGCCTGCTTTATCTCCATCCTGAACTGAAGCAGGAAAAGGAAGAAGCTGCTGCCTCAAAAGCCCGCGTCAGTTCCAACGCGTTATAATATTGTTCTGGTCAGTTTAATGGCTGTTAGTCTTTTGTTAGTTGGGAAGCTGGTTAGTTCCTTGCACATTCCCAGTTGTGGCTAGCAGAGCCCTGTCAGGGAGGCTAATTTTAACTCTCTTCTGTGTGACTACTTGACGTTTTCACTCCTTCCAGGTACTCAGGTTTCCTATCCCTGAGCAGTCCAATGCTTTCAGAGGTCAGGACTATTGGCCCTCTGTGAGAATAACTGGAGAGCACTTATCAGTGCTCTGATCCAAACACAGTCATGGGGTTCGTATCCTGCAAACCTTGCAGGGAACGCTGCCTTCACCTGTTCCGGAAGGGACTTGCCCTTTTCTGCTTTCCTGAAAGGAGCACAAGCTTTTTTAGGCAGCAGACTTTGCTCTGGGATCCACCCTTGCCGGCAGACCCCTGTTCTGCAGTAGGAGCCTTACTCAATTTGGCGTAGCTGTTCCCTGTCCCTGACTGCGACAGGCTTTTTCATGAGTGTACTTTTCTGTTTTTCTATGTGTCACGTGTCTGTGCTGTATTAAATAAAGAGGAATGTACATATTAGCCCTGTGTCTGTGATTTCTCACAAAAATAAAAATGGGGAAAGGTTTCACTTGAAGGGTTGGGCCCTCTTGGGGCTTTTGGTCGGGATTTTCTGTTTGGGGGTGGGGGCCTCCTTCGGTCAGGGCAACCACCCGAGCAAGGGTAACACTGTGTGCCAGGACCAGCGCTTAGAAACCGCAAAAGGTTCGTTGGGGAAGGAAGCCGTTCCATGTGGGAACACAGTGTTTTACCGAGCTGCAACCAAACGCCATTGAGGGACCGCACCCCCGCCTCGGCCCCGGCTCCCAGGGGGCCGCGCGCAGCCGCGCCGGGCGGCGCTGCCCAATCACTGGCCTCCGATGCACGCCATAAAAGGAGAAGGGGCGGGGACAGTGGATAACTAAGTGCACAGACACCACCCTCCTGCGGCAGCCCCAGTGGCCTAATGGATAAGGCATTGGCCTCCTAAGCCAGGGATTGTGGGTTCGAGTCCCATCTGGGGTGGGTAATTTTTTTCTCACTCGAGCCGTGCAGCCTCTCCTCACGTCTGTGAGCCGCTCGCTGTCTCGAGTCTGCAGCTCCTGAGCTTCCCTCCTGGGCGTCCCCTTCGGGTACAGCGGGACCCGAAGCGTCTTTTAAACGGAGACCCCAGAAACTGGCGGGGACGCGCCCGCGGCCAAAGCCGGTTTCCTGCCGTATGATGCGCCTCTTGGACGGCTCCCGGTGCTCCCGCTCCGTTACCACAGGCCGGTTACGAGGCGTGGGCCGGGCACGCCCCAGCCTCGGCGCTCGAACCCCAGCACTTCACCAGCGCCGATTGCAACGGCGCGAGAGGGCGGCAGAGAGTAGGAGGAGGCGATCGCTCGCTCGGCGTTCGACTGCCCGCACTGCCGGGGCGCGAGGGCGAGGCCCGGCGGCGGCGCTCGATTGGCCGGCGCGCCGCGCGCGGCTCGGAAGATGGCGGCGCTGGGAGCCCCGCTGCGCACCCTGCGCGCGCTCCTGCGCGAGCTGCGCCACGCCGCCGGCCGCTCCTATCGCGACAGCCCCGCCTATCGGCACGTGCTCGCGGCCTTCCGCGCGCACCGGGTACGCGCCGCCTTCCCCTCCCCGCTCCTGCCCCCCCGGCAGCTCCCGGGGCTCGGCGAGGCCTCGGGGCCGCCCTGACCGCCGTTCCCCGCAGGTGACCAGCGAGAAGCTGTGCCGGGCCCAGCAGGAGCTGCATTTCCAGGCCGCCACCTACCTGTGCCTGCTGCGCAGCGTCCGGGAGCACGAGGCCCTGCACCGCGAGTACCACGGCAGGGGAGAGCGCTCGCCACAGGAGGTCGCCGGGCTGGTGGGCTTCAGACTGCCTCAGCAGCCGGGAGGGAAGGGCTGAGGCGGGACTGCTGTGCTCAATGTTTATTCCTCAATAAATAAATATATATCCTAGAGCTACTGGAATGGCCTGGGGTCTCTAGCAGGTGCCTTTTTTCAAGTTTAGGTTATGGTGTGAAAGCCGTAACTGGAGACAACCAACCCCTTCTGCCTTCATCAGGCCTCCCAGACGCCCACCCCGACTTTGTGAACGTGTGTCCTGACCCGTCCAAGGGTTGACAGAGAGGTGGTTTGTAGTGGAAAAACATGTCAGCCTTCATGATGAACTGATGAACTGCTTGTCTGAGGGGTTGCAGGCGTTCGTGGTTCCCCCACGTGATTCAAGTGCGGTAGGTGAGAGAATTTGTCCAGTGTTTACTGAGGCATTTCCCAGCCATATTCTGTGTATGTGGAATTCCCTAGTCTCCCAAGAACAAAGGTCACTTCTGTGGAGCGTCTGTGGGTTCTGGTGAGCACTGCAGTAGCACAAACCTCTTCCACCTTAAAAATTTTTTTGAATTTTACCATGGCGGTGAGTGAGCAGTAGCGATTCAGAGAGATGAGTTACATGTTTCTCCCTGTCCCTGAGAAGTGACTGCCAGCTTCCTGTGCTTCCCTCTCCCTCTGAATCTCAGAAAACCTGAAGGGAACTGACTCTAGGCAGTCACGGGAGGTGCACAAACGGGACTCACCTCACAAATCTGGAGCAGTGAGTTTCTTTTTATAAAAGGCCTTGAGATGTTGCTGTTCACAAGAGAGTGTTGTATTGTGTGCAAGATATGTAAGAAATCTATAACAAGAAGGACTTTAAATGGCTAAAAATGTGAGGTTTATCTGGGGAGAAGCCTGAGGCAACTCCAAGAAAATTAGAGTGTGTTTGTTGGGGTTTTTTTACTGACAGGGAAAACAGTGTTTTGTCAGAAAAGCATTGCAAAGAGAATCAGTTCATCTGAGTCTGTTTCTTCCTTCCCCTGTATTTAAAACTTGGGAATGGTTTAATCCCCACAGTATAGTGGATAGGCACAACAGATCCTTAAAACAGGGAAAATTTGGGCTGCTTAGGTAAGGCAAGGAGATGTGAACTACAAGTTTTAGGGTTCTGTTGACCAGAATTCCAGTTTGCAAGTCGCACAAGTTAAATGGTGTTTTTTTCCAAAAGCCTTGATATAATGGGTGGAAAAGTATCAACCTATTTTCAGCTCAGTAGATAAAGTTGTGGGATGTCACCACACACTGAGAATGGCTGTGACACACTGCTTGTTCAGCATTATTTAATGAAAGCCGCTGCATTCTGTAGTATATTGCTTGAGAAGGGAAATTTAAAAATAAAATTTAAAAAAAGAAAAAAGTGATCATTTGGCCAGACACAGATGCTCTTTAAAGAGTAGAAGGAGCTAAAGTGTGTATGGTGTTGGTGTAAATAATCACTAAAAAGTCTAAATTTCCCCTAAGCATACCAAGGTACCTAAACAGACACTTCTAACAAGCATTGGTGTCTCTGTGTCTCTTCCATTTACTTCCCCTTCAATCCAACGTGATGACTAACAAAAGTAAATTTAGATTTTAAAGAAAAAGCAAAGCCAGGACATATCCTAATTAGCTGAAGAGCGCTGGGTAGAGAATCTTTTCCTGAATGTGTTACAGAAGAACATCTTCTCTACAAGTCCTTCTGAAATACAGATAATTGGGGTGAGGGGGGTTATTATTAGGGAGGTTGCGTGTGGCCCTTTTTCATTTGTATGGAGCTAACCTTGAACACGACAACGCCTGGGGACGATTACAACTGATCTTTGTGACGGGTTTGGGCACTAGATGGCAACACGACGGTTGACAAAGGAAGAGTCACAAAATGCAGGCGTTAGAATGGGAAAAATTCGTTTGGGTTTTTTTTTTTTTAATGGACCTTGGTGCCCTGTAAGTCGAATTATCAGCCAAATAGCCTCAGTTTTAAGGGAGGTTCTCCAATTAGCGGGGTATCAGAGTAACTTGTCTCACCACGACTGTACCCATACTTGAGGGAAGCAGGGGCCGTGGCAGTGGTGCTGCACGCCAGTCCAAGAGGGAACTGTCCCCAGACGGGAGCTCTCCCCCCGCTGCGCTCCGGGGCCGCCCGGGACCCCAGCCGCGCCCGGCGCCGCCGCTGACCCGGAGACCGTGACGTCACACCGGCCACGCGGGCCTTTCTGGCCAATCAGCGCGCCCCAAGGGCCCAGACCGGCGGCCCAATCAGGAGCTTCGGCGCTTGGTGCGTCACTGGCCGAGCGGCGCAGGCCGTGGCCAATCTGCGAGCGCCAAGGCCCGTCCGTGCTGACGTCGCGGAGCGGACGAAGGAGCGCAAGGCGCGTGCGCGTGGGTTTCCGTTCCCGCCGGCACGCGCGCGTGGCGGGCGCGGGAGGGAGCGGGAGTGAGGGAGCGTGTGGGGGCGCGAGGCGGCGGCACCGGCACGAAGCGAGTTTCCCGCTCCGCTTCCCACCGGGAAAGCCGGGCGGGGGCAGCGCCCGCTCCCTCCCTCCCTCCGCGGCGGCGGGGGAGCGGCCCCGCCTGTGACGCGAGGGGCAGGGCCGAGCGCCCGCCGCGCCTCGGGCCTTGTAGGCCGCTGTCGGCGTGACTCGGCCGGGCCGCGCCGGCCCCCCCCGCGCTCAAGATGTCGGCGCAGGCCCAGATGCGCGCCATGCTGGACCAGCTCATGGGCACGTCCCGGGACGGTAAGTGCTTCCCCGGCCGCGGTGGGGCGGGGAGGAGGGGGCGGAGCCGCCGCCGCCCCGGAGGTCACGGTGGTACCGGCCGGGCCGGGCGGTGTTCGCCGTGATTGGCAGGCCCGAGGCCCGCTGCCCGCACCCCTCGCGGGGCGGGGCTGCCAGGACCGTCGGCGGCGGGGTGGGGGGAGCCGGGCGCCGCCTCCCCCCGCGGAGCTGCCGGCGCCGGCTGCTGTCCGGGCGGCCGCAATGGCGGTGCCGCTGTTATTGGAGATCCGCTCCTGGCGGTGTCCGCGGCGCGCACCCTTTTCGCCCGGTCACCATACAGGGGCACACACGCTTGAGAGACTCTGATCATCGAGGGGAGGACCAAAAAAATCCCCCCAGACCAACAGCCCCTTCAGCAGAGCAGGGTGGGGTTTTGTGTCGTTACAGAGTTGTCTAAATTGTGGCCCGAACCATCGTGTTAGCCAGCAGGCGGGTATGGCTGTTGCTTTCTGAAAGGCAATGTGAGATTGACCTAAGTGGACAAACTGTAAAAAAAAAGCTCCCTAAACAGCCAAGTAAAAGCTTAACGTCTGGAGGCAGTCACTCTCAGAGAGAGATAGGAGATGTACGGTCAGGTTTCAGGTCGCTCTGCGATCACACAGTGGAGAGTATTGCTGCGTAAAGCTTTCTGCAGTTTTTGTCGGAGTGCATGGCGATCAGCTTGAAAGTCTGAACCGGCGCTCGCCCGTAAATCCAGGTAGTTGGGGGAGCTGCTAGAGAAGAGCAGTTCCGCTTAGGCTGTGCAGTTCTTAACTTGCAAACAAGAGAATTCTGCACCCGAGGGTAGGCAGCAATTAGAGGTAATTTAAATGTTCTGCATGTGGTACTCATACTCTGTACTCACTCTTGCAGATGTGTTATGTTTGTGGAATTAACTTGTTAAATTAATGGTTACCTGTTCCCCCGTGCGCTGACTAGGATGTGGAAGTGGGACGTACCTTGTATGTCCTGATCATCTCTGGGTACTGGGCTCATGTGAAATGACAGCTTCTTTTAGTATAATCTAGAATTTTGAAAAATGTAACTGGTTTATGCATACTCCTTGTATCGTGAATGCTTTCTGCAGAGTTCTAAATTACTGTTCTGCGAAAATTGTCTTCCAGAGTAAGGCTGTTTAGTGAGTTGTCATCATACAGGATCTAATTTGGGGTGGTTTTGTCTTGCTTCAGAACATTTTCCAATACTTCCTGTTGTGGCTGCATATGTCTGAGTGCTTGGCAAAGTAACATTGTGCTTATAGAACTCAAGTCTTCCCAGTGTTGGCACCTACATCGCTGTCTCAGTGCTACCCTAACATTACACAGAAGGTTTCAGGCGGGTGGAGGAGCCGTTTCAGTTTCTGAAAGTATTTTCTGTTGTGTGATGGGAGAAGAGTGTCATTTACTTGAGACAGCTGCCCAAAAATGTTAAGTGACTAAAATCTAAACCAAGAATAGCCATTTCAGGCTATATTTTCTCTGGCTTTGTAAGAAGGCAGTTATTAAATTGATAATTGTATTCCCCCCCCTCCTGCTCACCCTGTAATTCCTAAACCACATGTGCTGAACTGTTCACAAACTAACTGGCTAGAAAGGAAGCATTTAAACAAAATGGGTAGGATGGGGAAGGATAAGGAGAAAAGATGATTTGTAAAGCTGGTTTCCATTATTGGATTGAGGATCTCTGTGTAACACCATTCTAGTTTACAAAAAAAAAAAAGTCCAGTGGAGCTGGAGCATCAGCATCATTTATACTGAATTGTACACAGGGATTGAAAATGAACCTTTTTTTGCAGAGCTGGTATGTAATAAATCCAAGGCCAGGCTCAAGGTCATTGAAATATTGCTAAGCTTGAGAATAGTGGGGTTTGTGGTCGTTAGGTTTTTTTATATTCCTGTTACCTTTGACAAATAGTCAATTTCTGTCAACATGCAAATTGCAGCTTTTCATTAGAATGTGTCAATTTTTTAATTTCTTGGTAGGTCAGAACTTTATTTTCGCCACTTATCCCCATTGCCTTTGATTTTGCTCTCCCTGGCAACACATTAGAGTTTAAAATGCAATAGAGTTTCTGAAAAAATAATCTTTCTTGGGCAATGTTTTTGTTTTATACTATTCAATATTACAAACGTGCTTTTTAGTTTTATACTTTACAAAGTCTGGCAGGTCTTTTTGTCTTGGTTGAGGTTTTTTTGAGAAGACTAGAATATGAAGGCTTAAAAATCTTACCTGTTTTAGAAAAAGTAGATCAAACATTTGATCTCGTCGGTGGGAATAGAAAAAACTCAGAGGTAAATTTAAAACCAGCAGCCGTGCCTGAGTATGTGTAGGGGTTTTTTTCCCTTTCAGGTTTTAGTATCATTTGTAGAAAATATGAACATGCTCTGAAAATGATTTTGAAAATTCCACAATCAGATGCTCAAACATGGTTTTAGGAGATGAGCTGTAGGCTGTAATTTGTGGGACAATGTGCATACTCATTATGACTGGTGTCCCTAGGGCCAGAAAGGAAAAGCCTGGAAGGTGTAGTGATTAAGTGTTTTTATAGATTTGCTGTTAAGCTCTGAGAACACCTGGAAAGCACAGTTCCTATTGATCACAGCGATTCAGAAAATACCCACAAGGCTGTAAGAATATTAATGAAAAATCATCTGTGCTAGAGAGGAGACTTCTCTGTCAAACGGGGCTGCCGAGCATGTGGCCACCCAGAAGCGGGTGTGCTGCCCCTGCCCCTGGCTGTGCCCTTTCCCAGAGGGCCCTGTGCTTGTGGGCAGGGACAGCTGAGAGCTTCCCCACTTCCTTGGCAGCCTGCTGCCTCCCTTGGCTGAGTTTGGGCAGCAGGATGGATGCACTTGCAGTCACAGGGCATTGCTGGCTGATACCTGCCAGGATGTGGGGCTCGGCAGCCTCTTGGCAGCTGCCAGGCCCAGTGCTCCCTGCTCCGTGCCTGCCTTTGCTCATGTGACAGACACCTGACAGAGAGTGGAACTGAGGGGACTTGGCCGGTGCCTCTCAGGACTTGCCAGTGAGTTGCTGTTCTTAGAATACAGCTGGGTTAACTGAAAAGCAGTTGGGTTGGTGATGTCAGTGCAAAGAAATGTCTGAATGGCAGGAGTGGTTCTTTTACACACCTGAGAAAAACACATATTAATTATTATTTAAAAGCACGTGAGTTTTTTAAAATACATTGCATATTACCTAGGTTAATCTTCTCTTGCACACTTCTCTGACAAGTGGAAAGCTGAATTGGATGTGGACAGTGCCAAAATTAAAAAAAAAAAAAAAGTATCTTTGATTTCGATGCTAGTAAAAAGCTGGGCTTTTTTTAATATAGTCATGACTGCAGGCTGAAAAAAAATCTCTGAAATGGCATTCCAAGTACTGATAACCTGCCATACCTAGAGAGGCTTTAAAAATAAATTACTGAATATATAATCTGGGTTTTCCAAATATTACGAAATAAGTGGTGCTGAAAACCAGGTGCTAATCTTACGTGCTTATATATTAATATTTTTGGGGTTTTTTTGGGTTTTTTTTCTGTTATCACTTGAACTAAAAGAGTTTTTATTCTATATATCAATAGTTAAAAGGTTAGTTCAAGTTGATTTTTTTGTTGTTTACCAGAGCTGCAGAAACTTGTCATTTAGGAGTACATAGCCCATAGAAAAGTATTACTTTTATTTTTTAAAATACTGGTTTTGAACTGTAAAGTTGAGTAAGCTTTTTTTAATAGTACGCTTAGGTAAACCCTGCTTTTGCCATCCCTGTTCTCCAGAAAACAGGAGTGAACCTTACAGACAGGATCATAACTATAAATTGAGTCATTTGCAAATTGAGTGAAATGTTAACAGTTGATATTAGTATCCCCAGGATTGGGTCTTCTTCCATAATATAGTTTAAATGGGCAAAGATTGAAAAAACTTTTCTGTAAAAGGCCTTATGGGGAGGATCCCATTTGATCTTGAATCAGTTTATCTTGTGCAAGTGTTTGATTTTCCACCAGGTCAGTCATGTGCTGTGCCTTGCTGCAGGAGTGAATGCTGGAGTCAGCCTGAGGAACTGGTCGGAAGCAGAGGCTGAAGCAGGATCATTACTTGTGACAGTAGTGCAGACACAGCAGATCCCAATGGCTCTGGTGCCACAGAACATCTTGGAGCTGCTAAGACTTGGCTGTTGCAAAGAAATGTGATGGTGGTTTGAGTTTTTAAAATAATTGCCACCGCTTCAAAATTAGACCACAGTCTAGAAATATGAAAATCTAGCAAAGTTAATTAGATTCTTGTCTTGGTTTGGAAAGACAGGTGCTTGCTAAGGAAGGCAGGAGCCTCCCCTGAAATGGAAAATGTAAAATATCCCCCCTCTGCTCCGAATTGCTATAAATTTTAAATTAAGGGGCTCTCAGGCAAAAAAAATACGGGCACAGGCAATAACAGTTCTTTAATAGGGAAGAAAATAAAATGATAAAATAAACAATGCTGCAAACTAAAACAACACTGACAGAGTCAGAACACAACCTGACACCCTGTGGGTCAGGGTGTTAGTAGCAGTCGAATTGGAATTGTGGCTGCAGTCCTCCTGAAGTGTCAGGTGTGGTTCTCTTGAGGCAGGGATCCTGTAGAAAGGTGTATTCTTCCTCTGAAGATTCAGTGGAAGAAGAGGCAGCTGCTGTCCCCTGGGAAATCCAGTGAAGAAGCCCTGCTGGTGTTCCAGAATCTCCAGATTGTATCTGGGTAGGAATGCTTGGCTCCTCCCTCATGGGCAGAGCATCTCACAATGGGATGCTGTAGTTCTTACCAGTCATGCAGTGACATTCAGTAGCTGTTATCAGCAGATGTCCCCCGGAGGGAGGAGTGGTTGTGGAAGAGATAAGGAAAACTGCCTGCTTAACAGAAGACAGATGGCAAATAGAATACATCTTGCCTTGCAGTCTGGGACAGTTCTCTTTAAAAACAGGTGCATTGTGCTTCTGAGACTGTGGTCATGAAAAGGTTCTCCCAAGCATCTTAACAAATACTGTGCTATGTGACTAGCAGAAAAATCTCCAGAGCCTTTAAATAGAAGCAGTATGTATAAAGTGCCAGTCAGCACCTCCTTTTGCTTCACCTGCCAGCTTTTTGAGCTGAGCTGTGTTTGAAGTCTTCAACTCAGTTCTTCAGCTATTACTAGCAAACACACTTTTCTTGTTGTAGATCATCTTCTTCTTCCTTTGAAGCTTATAATACCCTTTTTGCATCTGTTCACATCCTAACTGGTTTTTCTGGGTTATGCTTCAGTTATCCTTAGTAGTGGTCAGTAATCCTGTTCTCGTTGTTTGGAAGGAATTGAAGTGACACTCCTGTGCTTATTTTATTCATCCTATGTTTGGTGGCACGCTTTATATGGTAACAGAGGTGTAATCTGGAACTTGTAACCTATTTTGTAATTTCTTTGTTTTAGTATGGGATTATTGAAGAAATTCTGTGTACTTAACAATGGGTGGAGTGTTTATGTTGGTATTTGCAGGGTTAGGTAGATTTTGGTTTCCACTTTGCTTCATTCTTGGAGGTAGAAGGTGGTATGTGTGTTTAAACTTTGATAGATCATTGCTGAGAATTTTGTAGCCATTTTGGGTAGCTCCAGGCTGAGAGCCAGGCTAGGGTGCCAAGAGTCTCTTCCAAGAGCTCTGCTTTCAAATACAGAGCAGCAGCAAAGGTAGAGAAAAATATTTCATATACAGGAATTTCTGTAAAACCTCCCCAGAATGTTGAACTGAAATCAGCTCAGAAATCTGAAAGTAGTCAGAACACATGAACTTCATGAAAAGGTGCTTTATTTGTGTCCAGGACAATTTGTCAATCAGGAGTGGTCAGGTTTGAAGAGCAATGACTGTGTTTAGGGAATTGTCTGTATTTTCTGGCTTTGTTATAAAGTTCTGATAGTTCAAACCTTAAAAAATTATGGGAACAGTGAAGAATTTGAGGAATTATCTCTACTTGGGATGCTGTCTAAAATGGCATTTATGAAGAAGCAAATGGGCATATTCATACCTCAAGGAAGACCATTTCTGTATTTGTTTGACTTGTAATGCATTGGCTACAGGATGGTCTCATTATAGTCTGAATTAATTAGTGTTGCTTCAGTCATGGTGTTAAACAGAAGCAGTCCTGGTTAGAAATATGTATTATTCTAAAAGTGTTAGGATCAGGACATGAGCAGTGTTTAGTGAGAAGAGGATCAGAACTAGCTGCCCGTTCACTGTGCAGCAGGAACAGGATCTTCTGTGCCTGCATAAGCCTCAGTTAAATAATGGTGTTGGATACTGGTTAGACAGGGCTTGCTTTGCGGGTGGAATTTGATACACAGTTTTTAAACACATACTCCACCCTGTTAGTAGCTCTTGAATAAAGCTTTCAGAGTCCTTTGCCAACATGTTGGGACTCATGCTTAAAAATTTGAGTGGAAAGTTAACCATTTTTTGTTGCTGTATCTTAGTTCAGGAGGTGAACAACATGAAAATGAAAATTCACTTGGTTTCCTTTGCATGGATTGCACCACTGGTTTACAATTAGAGGTTACAGTTGGATTATAAAGGGTTATTCTCACTAGTGCTTTGGGATTGTTGACAGTAGTGTATTAGGGTACATCAGAATAGTAAGAGATCCTGCATGAAAGAAGTCATTGTCATGAGTGTGTTACTATGCTAAGCATTGTTGATGCATTAGTGCTCGTTCTGCTCCTTTGTGATTAAAATATACTGAACAGGAATGACATTGTGGTGGCCTGCTAATAGATTAGACTTGGGAGTTCAAAGTGAATTGTGTAGTACAAGTGCACATTGTAAGCTTAACCTCTGGATGTTCTTTAATCAGCAGTATGCACTGGTCTTAAATATTGATGTTAATTTTGTAGTCAGTATGTTTTATACAAAATAGAAAACTTCCTTTAGAAAGTTTACATTACTGCCATAATCTCTCGAATACTTGTATATCTTGTGTGCAGCTTCCTTATGCTTGTAAAAGATATGGAATGTGCAAGTATAGAAGTTTCCTTGGTGTTTTGCTTTTTTTCTTTTCAGTTCTGTTTCAAAGTTCTCTGTTTACTGGGAAAGTAGTCTCTTAGAGAAATGTGGTTTGGGACAGGTACTTTCAGTAAAATTAAAGCTGATGCTTCTTGGGGAAAATTTAATTTATCTTTTCTCCATATAAATTTTATCAACTATACTATTTTTCTTTTAGTGGAAAAAAATCAAATTGGAAACACAGGGATGGCTTACAGTAATAGATGTTGACTCCTGTAATGCCCTGGTAAATTACTTTCATTTCTGTAATGAGCATAAGTCTTAAAGATCAAGTAGTTGAATATTGTGCTATTCTTCAGAGGCAGGGTTAAATAAACTGCTATTCTGAGCTGATTTAATTATTTACCTATTAAAATAGAATTTGTAATAAGGTCTGAAATATCAGTGATTGTGTCCTCTTTATAGATGTTCAAGAGTACTTCTGAAACTTAGGTGACTGCAGCCACTTGGTGCCTGGGTGTATTACTTTCTTATTACAGAATACATAAAATATATTTTTTAAAAAATATTTTTTTGATACTCATTATTTAGATTTAGTATTCACTTGTTTGTTTGACCATACAGAGAAGGCATCAACTTCCCTATAGTTTGACAAGCAGAAGTAGCATTTTGGTTACCTGCTGTACTGCAGAAGTCCTTGTCTTAAGAACACATCTGTTTGTGTTGTTTTAGTTCTTAGAAGGCATCTGCATAAATCTCATTTGCTCTTGTAGGCAGAATATCAGGTGCATAGTGGATCCACAGATTTTATTCTTCCCTCCCCCCCCTCAGCAACCTATGTAGATCCCAGGCCATCACACTCTCAGGATGATTGATGTGTAGGTCAGCAGCAGAATAAATCTTCTGTCTTTGCCAAGAGGTGTGCACTATTTAGGAATATTGGAGCTCACAATATTCATGAAGGAATGAAAGCATTTTCTTCTGAGGCTATCAGACTTGCAAATGAGCTGCCAGAGGGACACAACAGTCAGTCTCTGTTAGAATGTGATATACGACACCTTTTTTTTAAATAAACTTTTCCTTCTGAAACAGCATATATTAAAAAGAAATGCAAATGTATAAAATTGCTTTTTGTAGAAAAGAAAATGTAAATACCCCAATCATATTTGTAAGGGAACCTTTCTAAAAGTTTTTTAAATGCTTAAATAAAGGCACAGTGCAGAAAGAATAGAAGTTTAAATACAAATACAAATGTGTAAAGTATTCTTTACGTTGTTGTTGATCAGTTTCTGCCACTTTTTTTTTTTTTCCCTATGCTGTCTTCCTCTGGTTGGTAATTGTGATTATCATTCTAGTCACTTTGATGAAAAAGGACTGTATTTCAGCTGTAGTATCAGTACCTAGTTGTGATAGAGGTGTGAAAAAGGTAATTGGAGGTAATGTCTGTGAAAATACTATTTGCCAACATTACTTAAGGAACATGAGTCTTTCAGCAATTTTCTGGTCTTGGTAACTCCTTGACTCCTATGGCTATTAGGCCATCAGCTTTGGGGTTTTTTTAAAATACTTTATTTTGTTGATGTGTCTTTATATAGAAGAATCTTTACAGTCAACATGTATTTCTAGATGCTGTGTTAAAATTGCTGGCAGAGTCTATTTTTCTATACAAACTGAACAATCTGGCCCCTTGTTTTATTTATAAAGGTTCAATGTATCTTTGCCTGCCTACATCAATCTGCAAGGGAGTGTCAGAAAGGCCCCGCATTCGCCGAGCCGTGAGTTATCAATAACTTTTCAGATGTGTTAATGAATGTGGAACAAACGCAGTTATGTGTTTAAAAAAATAAAGATCCACCTCCTAAAAAGAAAAAAAATAAGAAGAGCAAAACTCTTTACTGCAGTAGTAGGCATGATTATAAAGAGATTACTCTGAATTTTTGGTACTGTAAGTATAACCAAGCAGTAAGGTTGCCCTCTAGAAAACCTATTGTTGAACTGCTTTGAAGCTCTTTGGTGTGTGGGTTACAGGTTTTACCTGTTGTATCCTGCAGGCAAATTAAGCTTGTGCTGTTTATGAAAGTTTTTGTTTACTTAATAATCTGAAACATGGCCCATCTGAAAATGCTATATATTAGCATCCTACACATAGAATGAATATTTTTAAATCTGATTACATAATAAGAAAGGTTTGACTAAAATTATACAGGTTTTTTATTCCTCTCTCTTGTAGTTAACCTCAGTAGTGAATATGGCTTCTTGAATTGTTTAAGAGTTTCAAATCTAGAAGTTTAGAGTTTCAGATCATGAAGCCATTAAAGAAAACTTGAATAACTGCAAAATGTATCTACACTCAAAAATATTTGATGAAATGGAAGAGGCTGCTATCTGAGCTCACTGTATGTCCCTTTTTCTCCCAGCAGCTCTTTCTGCTTCAGTAATTCACCAGTAGGTTTTCAATTAAAAGAGATCATCTCAAATTATGTTAAAAAAAAAAGGCTGCATCCTTGGAGAGATCGAGGTGTTTTATCATGCCTGTGTCTTAACAAGAAGAGAGCCATTGCAGTGATCTCTCTTCTGAATTTCAAACAGTGACAATTATTTTACTCAAAGGGAGACATGTTCAGCCCTCATCCCCAGAATACCAGCTGGTTACTTTGTTCTGAAGACTTCAGGTCTTGCTCCGGGAAGGGATTATTTAACCTTGCAATTGAACTTCAGTGTCTGGGCACGTTGATGCTTCTGCTGATGCAGGAGCTGCAACCCGCCACAATGAGATATAATTAAGATGTTCCAGCCCAACAAACAGCACATAGAAGAAAAAAGAAAAAAGGTTTATCATATGGAGATATGCAAACACCTCTAAAATATTTTGCATATAGGCTATGCCCGTATGTTTGATTTTTTTTCAGGTTTGTAAGCATTTAAAATCATTCTTCTGCCAACTCTTTATGCTACTCCCATCAGATGTTAAAGGGTGCATTGCATCCAAGAGCAAAATCATAAAACGAGTATCAGGTGGGATTTGGTGAAGACTCTATGTGTTTCATTTTGTGTTTATGAGGCTGCTTTGATATGCTAATTCTTGCATAGAAATACGTCACTATTTCATGCAAAGTCTGAACAGAGAATTATATAGCTCATTTAACAAATGCTATTGTATCAAAGTGTTTTTAAGCTAATACTGACTTTCTGGTTTCAAGCACTTTTCCTGCTGCATTTTTGAAGGGGAAGTGTGAGAGGATTTTTAAATAGCATTATAGAGCATTAAAACACACATTTGTGGTTTTGGTGTTGTTTGCCAAAGAAGCATAGCGTGTTTTGAGTTCTAGTTTCCATAGACCTTCAGTATGTGACAGGGCACTGTTAACGCTTTGCATGTAATTTGCAGGACATGCCTGACTGCCACAGGTTTCTGACCTGGAACGTGCTGATTTCTATATTGCAGGTGACACCACCCGTCAGCGAATCAAATTCAGTGATGACCGAGTGTGCAAGAGCCACCTTCTCAACTGTTGCCCTCATGATGTGCTCTCTGGAACTGTACGTAGCTAAATTTCATGTTTTATTTAGATAAGTGCAGAAATTGGATTATATTTGTTCTTTGTAGTATTTCCTTAAATTTCATGGGTTTCAGGGACTATCTAGCACTCTCTGGTAGTTCAGAGGAACTCTCAGGAACAATTAATTTATGGGTTTTGAAGTTAATTTTTAGAATTCTTCTGTTCTATGTGCTAATTATTACCTAAATTTCATCGTTTACATGAAAAGCCACATAAGGTTACAGATGTGAGTTGTGCTATAGCAGAGTGGCCTTACAGTGGTACAGTTGCAAGTAATAGAAAGAAATAAAATATATTGTATGTATAAATTATGAAGTTACTTTCTTAAAAATGGATGTTATAGTGGGAGAGTATTCCAAAGATGTATTTGTATAGAGAAGTACAGAGATTTTTCTCTTCAGAAATATTTTAATGAAAATAATTGAAAGTTCAAATCATTAAATTTCTAAAAGTTTAGATATGTTTAATATGATAATGACACTTACTGTACATTATACAGTTACTGTGCCATTGTCATAAATTCTAAAGCAATTTTTAAATCTCAATTTATGGCATATTAATAACTTGTTTGACTTGGACATTTGTGCACTCTGTAGTAGCAGTTCCACTACATGAGGATAGGAAACAAGGGGCTCTGACACAGGCCAGCAGCTTTTCTTTGTCAATGTGCTTGTGCTTTACCTTGTGATCCATATTTAAGGTAGCTTATTATTTTGTGAAAGGCAGGTGAGTAATATTTCATTGATTATTTGATCTAATGTTTGATGACTAGAATAATTAGTGGTAGAGAGATAAAGTATGATGATACAGAGTCCCACGTGCCTACTGTTCTTAATGCTGCTAGGGTAGCTTTTTTCATTCATGTTGGCACATTTTGTTATCCTTTGGCATCAGGGAAAATAAGTACTGAAAAATCTGTCTCGGGATTATTTGAAGTAGTATTGTGTCTCAATGTGTATATATAGTTTTATTTTGAACTATTTTGTGCATTACTGTCCAAACAAAATGGGGGAAGGGGAGAACAGTGTGTTTCTTTTCACCATCAACCCATCTGTTAGGTTGGATGGTGCTTTGGTTATGTGGTGAGCAAAACACCTCCTGCTTGGGACATACTGGTATGCTATCAAAACATACAAAGGCATTGGTCATAATCCACAGGAAGAAACTTGTCAGAGATTTGTTTGACAGCTTTTCATTGTGATCCAGTTTCTATAAACAAACATTTCTTTAACAGCTGTAAGTGAAGAAGTGTTCATTTTCAGAACTATAAAAGTCATAGGTATCATGCAGTAGCACCTCTTACACTGCAGGTTAGTCATGTTGGCTGGGGCAGCTGACACAGTTTCAGTCCTCAATGGAAGTTTTCTTCAGCCTCATACCAGATTTTGCTGCAGCAGCTCTTGGAATACTAAATGAAACTGCTTCTTTAGAGAATATCAGTCTTTTCCTTCCTCATGCAATTACTCATCATACCAGAAAATGTGTTCCACAGTGTAAATCTGGATGCAGAAAAGCAGTGACTAGTTTAATCCTTTTAGTGGGAGTAGTAGAAAGGGGACTCAAAAGAGACAGGCTTTACCTAGGCCGTGTTCTGCTGTTTACCTGGTTGTAGATATACAGGAATGGACCTTCTCTCTTAACAGCAGTTTTTAAAAGGGCAGGAAGCATGGAGTCTTACTGAGCAGTTTGTCACTGATTTAGAAAATGGCTGTGAAGTTTTCTCCAGAGTTTTGTTAGGAAGATCTTGATGCATCTTTGCATTCAAGACCTATAGTAGCAAAATTTGAGTGACTTCTTTTTTTTTAATTCAAGTCTCTGAATGCTCCTGAAAGAGTAAGTTCTCTGGGGACATTTTATGAGGTTAAGTCTCTATATTGACTAGATTATCAGTAAAATACTGGATATGAATTGCCTTTTTTTGGTGTGTCACAAGATGATCTACAATTCCTAGATACTGTTTATTACTGTTCCTCACTGCAAAATGCAGACTTCTATACATCTCTAGGCCACCCACTCTTTGAAACCACTCAAGGAGGACATTCACAGATAACACAAGACAAACAAAGTGACTCATATGAGTAGGCCCTGTTATTTTGGTGTGTTCTTTCCCTTAATGGCCAAATTTCCAAAACTCTGCAAAGGCTTTGATTTCCCTAGACAGTAAAAACCCATGTTCCTCAGGTTGCAGTATGTGTTGGTAAAGGTGTAGTATGTTTATACATTTTTTTAGGGATTATTTTATGGATATGTTTTTGTGCTACTAAGATGCTGGGTTTTAGACTGGGAAATTTCAAATCAAGCAGTCAGAAGTATCTCTGCCTGGTGAAGGTGTTTTTGCGTTAATGATCACTTGGACACCAGTTATATATAAAAGTCAGTGGTTTACGAGCTTGCTCATTCATTTTGAACTGAAAATTTTACAATAAGAAATTAGTAAGACTTTATAAACCCTGGATGATGAGACAGTGAATAATTTTCCTACTTGCAGCTACGAATTTTTTTTTTGTGGGTTTTTTGCTTGGTTTTTTGGTTGGTTGGTTTTTGTTGTTAGGATTTTTATTTGTTTGTTTTTTGCCTTACAGGATTAACACTTTTACTCTTAATGATTGCAGTCTTTTTGTTGTTTTAGTTTGGGGTGGGTTTTTGTTTGTGGGTGTTTGGGTTTTTTCTGTACAAAAAAGTTTGTTAATCCATATTCTGATATTGGGGACTGAAGCTGCATGTGTAGGAGTAAGATGACTCCCCCATAATGGTACAAACCTGTTAAGCAGTTCTCTGGATGTAAAGAATAAGATGTCTGTGTTTCTCTATCTTTGTATGTATGTTCCTGAATGAATAGCAGAGTAGTAATGAAAATGACAAGGTGGGAAGATTTAAAACTAACACCTTTAATAAGGCTATTAGTAAGTAGCAATGTCCTGAATAGTTGTAACCCAGTAGCTGTCTTTGAAAATCCCAACACTTCTGAATTAATCTGGCTTTCTTACCAACTCGATGGTGCTTCCCTGATGAAAAAAGTTTCACAAATACTATTCGAGGTCTTGCAAATGATGGTTCTGCAACTCTTATCTGCTCAATGAATTAACTTAGTATTTATGTGTATTTATTGAGGAAAAAAATATATTTCTTGCATTTTATTTATTAAAGACCTGAAGATAGGCTCTGTTGGCTCATCCTGCAGTTATGCATATCTTTAGATGCTCCTAAATTTATTGCGTGGAGCTCTTCGGGGCTCTTACTGACTAAACACCACATTAATCAAGACCCTGGTTTAGCAATATACCTGGCTACATTGCTGACTTTAATCTTATTAGGAGTGGAATTCAGCTCCAGATTAAGACATCTAAATTTAGATTTCAGCTGAGGAGCTGGGTGTTGAAGCTTGCACTGAAGCTAGAAGGTTTCTAGGCAGTGGAGCCTAGAAAAAGATGGAGTTCACCTGCCCATGGGTATCCCTCTCACATTGGGCTGAATCCATTTAGGCTCGCTTGAATGTACTGTCTGCATCTCCTTTTACTGTATAAGAGAAGTTTGGATAGTTCACACATGTGCAAATAGATGTTACTAAGGAGTTTTAATCTGCAGTTAATTTATTTGCCAGTAGTCCCACTGGCTCTGGAGCTATTTGTACGCTTAAAACTTGTGGTTTGGGGTGTGACTGTGATTTTATGCTGTACTTCTAGAAAAAGCATTAGAAGCTGTTAAAAGGCATTGTGTCTGAGGGTATCAGCTTTTCAGTTCAGGACTGATTTGATCATGTGAACTGTTTCAGCTTGGCAAATCACATTAAATTAGGCTTGCATAAGCTACCTCAGTTCGAAGCCTTCAACCCAGTGGCGATGAATTGTGAAGTGCACTGCTGTCCTCTCAAGTGATCATGTCAGTCTCCTGAAATGTATTCTTGGTTTCTTTGGTCAGCACCAGGAAGGTGAACTGAGTGTGCCACATTCCATTTTAATGGTTTTAATTTATTGAGAAGGGGAGGGGGGGTTGTTACTTTCTGCATGGTTATCATTAATGTGGTAATATATTTTATAGTCAGGCTAGAAGAGCAAATACTATGTAAACAGTGAAATATCTCATTTGATAAGAAGAAAAGAATAAATCATCACTACCAAAACTAGCAGCAGTCTAATTTGAAGTCTTTAGAAATGAGAGTATGGTTACATGGAGCAATGTCTTTTAAAAAGTATTGTACTTCAGAAGATACCTGGAATTCAGTGGTTGCTAAAGACTTCAACTTAATAATTTCTGCATCTTTTTTACTTAGCATTTCTTTCCTGCTAGTGAAGTCCTACAAAAGTTAAAACTCTTAGTGGAGTCAGAGAACTTAAATCCCCTTCTAAATATGTGTTGCCTACAAGAAAGGATGGGTTTTATCACAAGTCTAGAAATCTGTTCAAAATAAAATTGGTAGTGCAGCTGAAGAATGCGTTCCATAATAAGGAAGATTTCAGCGGAGAGTCTGTCTTCAGCTTCTTTTTATCAGTAGTAAGTGTTCTCATACAGACCCTGGTAGTGCCTTGACAGTTTGATAGAGGAGGAGATCTGGTTCCTCCAATATCAATTTTTCAGCAATGTCAGATCTTTCTAAGCAAACAAACAAAAAATTTTTCTCTTGCTGAATGTGAACTGCTTTGGTATCTTTATATCTAAAAAGAAATATCTACACAAACACTGCCCAGAGTATTTTCTTTCAAAAACACATTAAAGATACCTGCTGGTTTTAAAAGTAGTTGATAGTTTGTGCTCCTGTGTCGCTTGGCTCAACATCAGCCCTTTGTGTTTTAAGTACCTTCAGCTTTTCTGTGCTCTTTCTGCAGTCTGTGTAGAGTATATTCAGTAATCAAATTTCTGCTGTCAAAGGAACTTGTAGCAGTTGTAGAAGTGCTAAAATGAGAATTTTGCTGTAGGTAGGTAGCTCAAGAGCTAAAAAGGGGCAGAAAAACCCCACCTTAATTTCAAATTCCAGAAACAGCATCACATGAGAGTTTAGTTTCCTATTCAGTTATTTGTCAGCTACTCAGAGTGCAGATTTATTTTGCAGATAAACTCTACAGATGCTCTACTCCAGATTCTTGGCCAGCTCTTCCTTGTTAACTTGTAATTAATTCATGTGGTAATTTTTTTTACCTGATTTGATTGAAGTAGCACTATGCAAACAAAAAGTAATCCATATTTCTTTGTTATACCAAAGACATTCTATTTTGTGGATGGGATGACAAAAATTATTACTAAATCATTTCAATACAATGTTGTTTTTTTTTATGAAAGACCAGTTTTTTAAACCTCAGCTCTGGGAAGTCAGTCATCTTTTATTGCCCATCTAACACTAAGAAATAAAAAAAATATTGTAGAAAGTGCTCAGCAAGTACTACAATGCACTAGTTTCTTAAGTAGAACTCAGCAATAACAAAAGGATTCCTGATACACTGCTTTATATGTGGTTATGTAGACTAATCTTTATCAATAACTTTCATGTGAAATAAAGAGTCTCCAAATATATATAGGCTTTTCTTCAGATTTTAATCTCAGTGCGGAAAGCCCGAAGCATGGCTTAGCTCACTCAATGAACTTCACTTACGTCTAGCCTGGGGACTTGGATGATTTCACCTTTCTTTGTGTTGTTCATCTGAACTGCTCTGTAAATCACTTTTAGGTAGTGTAATTCTGTCTGAAAGTCAGTGTATTGATAGTGAAAAACAGTGTGTGTTCTTTTTAAGCCTTCCATTAACTCAGTGTCTGAGCATGAGTCTCCCTCTTAGCCATCTTCTGTTTCAAATGTGATTGATCTTTAAATGGCAGACTACCAATGTTTATTCTTTGCCTCTGGGGGAAGAGCATGTCTTGGCACCAAATTGCAAGGTGGACTTGTGGAAAAGGAAAATAATGTGTCTTATTGTATCTTCTGTCCACTTTCATCTGCTGTGCATCTACTTTGCAGCTACCCATACGAGCCAGATTATACTGCAAACTGCTCTGTGCTTGTTAAGGTTCTTGGCGGTCATGACCCAGCATAGACTTTTGACAGTAATGAATCATCCCCAAGATAAGTTGTCTTTGCCTGATGTTGCATAACTTGCACCAGCAGAAGTGGTTTTTTGCCTGTTTTTGCATTTATTGTGCAAACTTATTAAAGAGTTTTAAATGTGGTGGGTTTTTTAGACCTCTTTACATTGGAGTTTGCTAAAGGAACTTTTATGAAAGACATATTTCCGTGAAGACTTAAAAAGGATTACCTAGGACTAGTATAGGCTGTGTTGAGGAGCAGTTCCAACAATGATGTAATTTCTTCAGCAGCAAAACTAGTGATAAAGAATCCTTTTCTCTTGTACCTGCTTCTTCTTGCTCCCTGTTGGGTCAAAAGGGGGAAGGGGAGCCAAAATTTCTTCTGTTGTGATTGAGGCATCTAACAAAAAGGAATCATAACATACTCCCTGTCTCCCAAAATTTCCACTAACATTACTGAAGGTTTTCAACAGTTTTTGAATTTGCCATCTTAATACTGTAAGACACCCCAGCTTCTCAAGTTCATTCACTACTGTGTTGTCCCCTACATACCCTCAGCACATCGTTTGTATGGCTGCCCAACAAGTTGGACAAAGGTATGCTGATGAAAAATTTGCCTCTCTGTTTGGTTTGCTAAGATGTTTTTTACCCTGTCACTACCCAGATTGTGTTCAACAGCACAGGCAGATGTGCCAGCATGGAAGTGGCACAGCACAGGGAGAAGGGGAGGACAGAATGTTTCTCTATAGTAATGCTGGCTCAGACTAATTAGCATCCTTTCAGGCTTTGGATTTACAATTCCCAGTAAGAGGCAAAGAAATCAGAAAATGTACTGTTTTGTGGAGGTTGAATCCAACCTAAATAGAGAGAAAGAAGTATAAAACGCATGTAAAGTGAACAGCAAGTCATGGTAGTGTTACGTGAATTATGAGGGTTTTTAGTGGGTGATGGAATTTTATTTTATGCATTTATTCAAAGTGTATGCAGATTGCATGTTAGAATAGCGGGAAGGTTGTGTGTGGTGGATGTGTTTTTGTCACTATATTCAGACCTATTGAAGTGTGTCACTAACCTTATCTATGCATTTATAACTTCAGAATTGTCCTTGAGTTTTACAGTTTTAGCCTTAAAGACCTTATTCAGTACAAGAGATGAATTGGCATAAAGTCACTCTTACAATTTTAGGATAATTTTCAAGTGTCTAATTTTCAGATAATTTTTTAAGGTTCTTTTGCATTGCTCTCCTAGTATTGAAGTACTTTCCTGAAAAAATGCTTCAGTTTAAATAATGTCAGCATGGCTTGGAAAGAGACCTCTATAATACATTGCTCAGCTTCAAGGTCTTTGTGGATTTGCATCAGTTAACAAAATTGCTGAGGTCTTGTATAGTTGCAAAAGGAAAAGCTAATCTTTTCCTTTATCATTGCAGTCAGATGTTCCTTATTGCAATCAAATGTTTTCCGGAAAACAGATTTATGGTAGCTGAAGGGGATTTAAATAACTGCAGTTTATAAAAAACCTTTTCAACTTTAAAATTCTTTATTTTACCAATGTAGGCTTTTTTCTCCATCTGAAACTTCTGTATGAAATAAACCAACAGCTTCCATAAAAATTACTTTAATGGTTTCATTGGAAATCCAAGTAAAAATTTGAAAGACTAAAATAATTGGGGTTTGTTTATTTTACTGTACGTATGAGGCTTTGATTGTTTACTTAAATCCAAGTATTTTATTAAAAACAAGCAAACAAAAACTCAACAAAACCCTCACTCATTTGGCTTGCAGCATATTCTGAGTTAACATTCATCTTCTATTTACAAAACTCACAATGCAAGTTATTAATTATTTTAGGTTTGGATTTTAAATTGTTACTTAACTACAACAGTAACAGCTTTTTCTATCAGAGTTCAATTTTCGTCATGTGCTTTCAATGTTAAGAAAGGATTAATTCTTCTTAATATTAAGTGAGTGCTGCCTTAAGCGCAGACTTAACTGAAACTGCTGGTTTTAAGTGCTGTAAATAACAATCACTTCCAATGATTCTGTATCAGCCTGTGCTGTTGCACAGAGGCTGCTTTGGGTTCATTCAGTTTTGTTTCCATTACAGATTGTTTGGGGGTGGTGGTTTGGGGTTTTTTCGTGGTTGTTTGTGGGTGGAGTTTTTCGGTTCGGTTTTTGTAAAGTGCATGTTGCCCTGTCACCAGACCTGTCGTGACCAGACTGAATTAGAATTTCTTGTGCTGTCTCCTATGCAAAATTCAATTTAAAAACAGTAGTCGTTACCCAGTAAGATTCTGGGCACTCTCCTCAGCGGCATTGTATGCAAGATAAGTGATGCAGCCTACTTACTTTTTACATCCATGCTTCCTTCCTGCCCCTTCTAGAATGGTTTTAGATTACAAGTGAAGTTTTTTCTTCCCTGGTTCTTGAACATAGTCCAACATTCAGCTCATCTTCCCTCATTTGCAAAATGTTTTGCAGGGATTTGATTTTTGGTTGTGCTACTTGAAATGCTTCAAGAATGTTTTTTAAGCAGCACTTAAAATGGTGCTGTGGTTGTAGCTCTTTGAGGTGATGAATATAATGGTAACACATTATCATGGACTGTGCAGACAGGTTCAGGTCAAGAATTTGACCATTTAATTACCAGTTATTTTCATGGAACTTGGCTCTACTGAACTGTTTAAGTTCAATACGTGATGTTCCACTTCAGTCACTTTTTTGAACTTCTAGTAAAACAGCATTTTTGCAGGACATCAATGATACTTTGTAATGCAAACAGCCATCATGATAAGATAAGCTGTTCATTCACTCTGCTGTTATTATTTCTTGATTCATGCATGTCTATCAAAGACCTGGTATAATCTTATAGGTTTGTTAAACTCTCATTACCACAGGGGAGATGACTTGCTTCAGAATATTTGACAGTTAAAGAAAATCATGCTACCCCTATTCCTTGTAACACACCTGAAAAGTTAAATCGCATTGCCTTTGTCTTTTCAGAGAATGGACCTTGGAGAATGCCTGAAAGTGCATGACCTGGCATTAAGGGCAGACTATGAAATAGCATCCAAAGATCAAGATTTCTTCTTTGAGCTTGATGTATGTATTTTGTCTTAATGCTGGAGAGAAAGCATTAGTTTGTGTACTTGGGTGGATAAATTGAGCAACAGATTTTGTGTTACAGACTGAAGGAAGGCTTTTGGAAAGCAATTTTATAAAGAGGCAGAGAAACTCTTGTCACAGTTACATGAAAGATACTTGCCTCTTCATTATAATATGCTAATTTGGTAGTCATCTCTAGGAGAACTGTTAACAGCCTCCCAGAGTATGATAAACCTGAGTGCTGTCTTAGTGTTGTCAAATAGCAAGCATATGTTAAAACTGTGTATGCATGCTTTGAATGGAGTTTTAAATTCTACACTTAACAAAGAAAGTAATTTGATATTGCAGATAACAAATCATATACTGTGTCTCCATACACTGTAGTTTGTTTTGAACTCCCAGCTAGGAAGTTAGCCTTTGCTAGGACAAAAGGGTTTGGGTTTTTTAATTGTTATTTGGAGGGATGGTTAATATACCTACTTAAGCCCTAGTGAAAAAAGTTTCAGTATTGCATGTCACGGCTGGATGAAGTGATCCTGAATAGCCTTCCAAGAATTTTAATGCCACTAGAAATACTCACTGCTACTCCTTCTTCTTCTGTCTTAAAACAGATTCACTTCCAAAATTCTGCAAATACTTAGAAACTATGGCGATGTGTAGATTATAATTTTTTAACCATGTCTATGAATATGTGTGATTAGTCAGCATAAACCGGTAGATTATTGTTCACTAATCACTAATAAAAACTTGTGAAAGTGAAGCCTTAATAAACTGAAGAAGCCTTACAGCTGATTTATTTATATTCTTGACAGCATTGATCCTTGTTCTTACTGATGTTTTAGGCAATGGACCACCTGCAGTCATTTATTGCAGACTGCGACCGGCGGACAGAAGTGGCTAAGAAAAGACTAGCAGAAACCCAGGAAGAGATCAGTGCTGAAGTTGCAGCTAAAGTAAGCATGGCAGACAAGTTACTGCTATTTTTTTGGAGGCCATTTTTTCTAAGGAGACAGTTTCAAGTTTTGAAAATATATCAAATCTGAGAATTCCTACTGAAGAGGGGGAAAAAGTAATACATTTTTTCTCTCCTTGCTAAAATTGCCTTTTAAGGCTCAGAAGAGAACAGAGGGAAGAGACCTCTCTGATATTTTTGACCTCAGGAAACTTGGTTCTGAATCCATGCTGTAGAAATGTTAGTAATTCTTTCACTTTTTGATCCAACCTTCATCTATAAAGTAAACAAAATCCATGTCCTTTTCTCTGTATCTTTTTTTGAATGAAAAACCTATAATGTTTCTGCACATATATGCAAATGCTAGGAGATGGTTGTACAAATATTAATTTTTCAAGACTGTTGTGGATAAGTGTGAATTATTTGCAGTTTGCTGAACAAAATCCTTTTTCTGGAATTTTACATAGACTTGGTAACTTTGCCTTTTTCTGTGTTCTTTGCAGAGAGGCATTTTCTGTTTTAGTTCTAACTGGAGAAGTTCTCTGTGTGTGTTTCTTTTAATTCTGTCCTTCTAATTTTGCATATCATAACTCAGTAGTAGTTCAGATTGTTCTCCATAATTAAAAGTATTTCCTGTGTTAAGGCTTTTCTTGTCTTTCAAGGCTGAAAGAGTTCATGAATTGAATGAAGAAATTGGGAAACTGTTGGCCAAAGTAGAACAGCTTGGAGCTGATGGGAACGTGGAAGAATCTCAAAAAGTAATGGATGAAGTGGAGAAGGCTCGGGTAAAGAAAAGAGAAGCAGAAGTAAGTTGATTGTGTAAGGACTGGGGGATGGAGAGGGCAGGGTCAAACATTAAATTGCTTGGCCTCCGTGTAGTGCAAGACATCTTATTTCTGTCAATTCTTTAGCTAATTGCTACATATAAAACTGAAGAAATTGCTTTGTGGCAACCAGTTAAAGTTTCTACCCTTCAATACATTCCTATACCATTAAAATTGTACTTCTTCCACAAATGATGCGTTTATCTTAGTTGGGCTGTGTTGGTCAGGTGTATCTGTGAACACTACCTTTGTGGCTGTGGTGGTTGCACCTGGTTTGGTGTCATGGCTCTTGCTATGGCAACCCTGTTGTAGCCTCATGCTGGAAAGCTTCAGTGCAGTGATCCATTGTCTTCACTAAAAGAGAGTTCATGTCTTGTGTATCACGAAAGTCAAAATGATCCTGGTAATTTTCAGGTGACAGAATTCACCAGGAGCTTTTCCATATTGTATTAGACAAAGATACTGAAATTTCTAGAAACCAGTATCTGCAGCTGTTTCAATAGTACCAGAAGGATTGCTGGCAGTCTTGCTGATCTATCATCTGAATGTGTTTAGGTAAATTTTGCTCAGGTAATGTGTTTAATTAGTGTCTCAAAAGCAGGTAAATTTCTCAGGAAACTAATACTGTTTTAAATGGGATTCAGAATTAAAACTGGTGTCATATTTTCATAATACATCAACATAGTAATTGTAGTGTTACTGTTTATTCATTGCTGTACATGAAAAAGTACATCATCCTTCTATATAATATATACCCAACTTTTTTTTTTTATTTGCAAAAACAGTTGATGCCCTGCTTCTAAATGTGTTCAGTTTTCAAAATAAGGAAACATGCCCTGTATCTTAGTGATACACTTGAAGTATGAATAGTGTGAATTAACTAAAGGGTGTTCTGGTGTACTTTGAATTTGGTTATTTGTAGTGTATCTTCAGTAAAGTGTCATCCTTGTGTTTATGTGCATTTTGAAGTAACAGCAAATGTTTTTCTTTTCTAGGAAGTATACAGGAATTCTATGCCTGCCTCCAGCTTTCAGCAGCAGAAGCTACGGGTTTGTGAAGTGTGCTCGGCTTATCTTGGTCTTCATGATAATGACCGACGACTTGCTGATCACTTTGGAGGAAAACTACATTTGGGATTTATTGAAATAAGAGAGAAGCTTGAGGAACTCAGGGTAAATCATTCTTACATTTTTTGTGTGTGCTCCTACTTAATTATTTGCCAGGCACCCTTAATGGAATATTTCTTTCTCTGTGTGTGATTTTTTTTTCATATCACTTTAAACTTTGGGAGTTCGTTAGCCTAAAAAGACGAAACATTCTAATTTAGCATCAATTACCTGGATAGATTTGTAAGATGACCTCTTTTGCACTGAGGTAGATTAAAACGCACATTCAAAGTAATGCATCTTGGGAGCTAAGAACTTGAATCTCCTTTTAAAATGGAGAACTGTATTTTGAGTGAACAACAGCGATGTTGAAACATACTTAGCAGTTATAGGAGATAGCCAAATGAACTTTGCTTTTAGCCAGATGATTGACTAAAAGTAATAAGGAGACTCTTGACAAGAGCATTTAGTAAGGAGGATGATAACACTTGGAAAAGTTTTCAAAAAATGTAAAGAAATGCTTGGAACTCAACCTGCTGTATAATGAATGACTAAAACTCAAATTGTTCATTTTACCTGGAGAAAGATTAGGAAATTATTTTGAATAGAATCCAACAACTCAAGGCTGTAGCTATCCAAAATGGGAACACCAAATTATGTATATCTTGAAGTCAGAAATAATTGCTACGGGGAGGTTGCATGTTCTCTGTAGCTTGAACATTTGAAATCCAGTTGGAATATTATAACCTATCTTGACCAGAAATCATATGCTGGGAGAAAGACTTATGGAATGATATTCTGGACCTCTGGTTTTCAAGAGGATGGATTTGAACACTGATGCCATTTATGACCTTAATTTATGACAAATTATGGAGTTCACAGTTCAGTTAAGCAATTTAACTGTAGAAATCACCAAAGACAGTAGCTAAATTGGTTGAATTCCTAAGAGCAGAAATTGCTGCTACTGGATTTGAATAAATGGACTGGTTTATGTTCTGTAATATTCCAGCTGTCTTGCATGGATACTGTGACTTGCCCTTTGGAGAGCTAACTCTTCCTGTTGATGTTGCCAACTCAGGCTCCTAACTATAGCTGGTGTAACTTAAATCTTAGATGCCTAGAACAGGTCATGTGTACTTCCTCTCATCCCTCCATGAAATTATGCAAAGAGTCACTTGAACAAGAAACCTTGCTCGTAGTTAAATTGCTGATGTTGTACAAGGAAATATAGATATAATTTGACAAAAAGGGTTGAAGTAACTAATTATTTACATCATTTGGAACAAAATATGCATGGATAACTATTTCACATTCCCAAAGCATCAATAAATTAATCTTTCAAAGTGCTTTGCTGATAAAGAAAGAAAACAATAACTATCCCCTCCTTCCTCAGAGCTCTCCTCAGAGATCTAATCAAGATGCTGCTGGGGCAATTCCACCTCTCAGAAGAAGGTCTTTACAAAGAGTTGAATTTCTTGCATCATGTCCAGAAGGTGGCAAGACTTGGGTTTGGCCAGATCTCCAGTTGTGAGTTGCACACCTGAGGGCCCTCTACTGAGCGTGCCTTGTCCCCAGTAGTAGTGAGTTCACCCTGGGGGCTATCAGCTGAAGCATCTGCTCTAACTTTATCCCACACTCATAATACAGAAACAAGTAGCCTCAAAACTTAGGTGTTGGCCCAACCAAGTCCTTTAAGAAACAATTAACTCTCCCAGTTCTGATTGCTTTCTGCCTTTCCCCAGTGTCCAAAATATGATAGGATTGGCATGGAAACTCTCACATTAAAGGCATGACTTACTGTTCTGAATTCCCCTTTATTAAAAACTTAATATTTAATTGCATATTTCAGGTCTTCATGTAACACCCATGTGCAGCTCTTCTGCAATAACTTCTGTTTCTTCAAGAAAAAAATAAAATATATGTATCTATCCTGAGGAAGAGAGTGGGAATAATATACACAAGGGAAGGGATATGCCTAAGGGAGAGAACTGAATGTTAACTGTCTAGATTATTTTTATAGCACCTTCATGTGAAAAATTTTTTAATACAACTTAATATATTCTTTTACTTTCAGAGGATTGTGGCTGATAAACAGGAGAAACGAAATCAGGAACGTCTGAAACGTAGAGAGGAGAGGGAAAGAGAAGAAAGGGAGAAACTAAGGAGGTAGGGATCTGTTTTAATTGCATGTACATTATGACCTATTTATGTTTAATAATAAAACTGATACAGTTCATACACATTTCTAAATATGCAGAATTACAATAGTTTGCATTTCTTGGAAACTTAGAAGGACTGAGATGGAATTTCATTCTAAATCTTAAAACATGGAATTGTTCTCATAAAAAGCATTTTTAAAAACTGCTGATAGTATTGTCTCTAGATATTTCAACAAAGGGCCTTTGGGATAATTTTCAGGCTTGTACTTTGTTTTGAGACCTGACAGATGTGAGCTTACATGCATATGATCGCCTTACATTTCTTAACAATTTCCTTCAGAGATGTTAGAAATTTTTCTTACTTGAAGCAGTTCAGTGTATGATTAAGGAAAGCAGTTCCCTGTTCTTCTATGGAATAGTAGCTTCCAGGCCTGGTGGGGCTGGAGTGGAATGGAACCTGAGTTGCAGTTCTCTTGACACGTTAAGTTTCAGAGGTTAACAGTGAATTTCTGAAATCTGTTGCAGTTTGGTACTATTTGCCTATCAGGAAATCTGGGAATACTGACATCCCCTGGAAACTTTTTCTGTGGGAGGGATGTAAGTTAAAAAGCTGGTTAGATAATCTTCTGAGCTTCTAGTAGAGTTGTCTCAAAAATAAATTTTAAAAGACCCAACCAACATGAAACAGGGATGTGTTTCCTGATAAACGTGTTACAAAGATGTTGACATCAATTAAAAGGCCTTTAAATACTTGCTGCTAAAGCAAGAAGTACAATAACAGGTCAGCTAGTCTGGTTTATTATTACTAAATTGCACTTTATTTGATAGTGAGATTCTCTTAAGAAAAATTACTATTTTCCATTTATTTCAGGTCCAGATCCCACAGCAAGCATGCCAAAAGGTATAAAAATCTGCAGACAAGGAATACCAGCGGTGAAGTTAGCCTTTCACAAGCTGGAACATTTTAAGACTGTCTAGCACTGTTAGTTTAAGATGACCATCTTTACAAACAAAGCTTTCTGTTACATAGTCATCTCTCTGTGTGTTTGTACACTATTTATCACCATGCTACTCAGTTTATACATCTACATCTATTTTGTGGCTATTACAATGCAGCTTCATGTCCCAAATAACACTTAAAACACAGAGAATTGCTTTTTCTTTGCAAAAGTTTCTGGCTAATATCTTTTGGTGAAAGCCCATGTTTTCAAAATCCCTAAGCACCAGGTTAACTCATCAGATCACCCATGAATAGTATGAATGTAGTTTCAAATCTACACAGTTGAAGGTCACCAGTGAGGTATGATTGCAAAGTGATTTGGAGGGGGGAAAAAGTAAGAAAATGCCAGATTTGTGTAGTGTTTAGAACCTTCCAGATTAGTTTTGTTGTTGTAGCTATGGGGAACAATATAGTCCAGTTTTTAAAGAACATCATAACACACAGATTCTGGCAGATGATCCCTGTCACTGCATCATTAAGTTCTTCTTTCCCTGATACAGATACTAGTTTAAAATGTAAAAAGTAGATTTTTTTATATTTGTATTTGCTTTCAGGAGCCTGAATTTGCTATGCTGTAGCCATACAGTCATGAATTAACTATAAAATTGTCTGCATTAGTCAAAAAGGAGTTTGTAGGCTTTCTGATGTTGCTTTCCCCTGTCTGTTTGCCTGTGAATCAGACACTGCAATGGTTCTGAACACTGCAGGCCATTCATTCTCTGTCCAGATGTGCTCACACATAGAGTGTGTAATGTTCACAGCACTCTGGTGAGAGTGGCTGGTGAGAGCAGTGTGTGCTGTAAGCCCTCTCTGTTCCTAGGTCCAGGTCCCGGGACCGCCGCAGACACCGCTCTCGCTCAGCCTCGCGGGAACGCAAGAGACGGACTCGATCCAAATCCCGTGAGAAACGGCACCGCCACAGGTCCCGCTCCGCCAGCCGCAGCCGGAGCCGCAGCCACCATAGAAGCAGGCACAGCTCCAGGGAGAGGAGCCGAGAGCGCAGCTCCAAAAAGAGGTGAATGTTGCCCTAGAAATAAATGGCCTTTCCCAACACACAATGAGAATGTTCACACTAAATTAAGTTTATGCTTACCACTTAGTAATTTCAATACATTTCGAGTCTGTCTCAGATTTCAGTTACAACTTCAGCATATTTATGATTTGACACACCAGAGTGCTTTATTCTCTTTTTTTTTTAATATATCAATAACAGAGTTATATATTATTTCTGTTTTGGATGAGTGCTACAGAGTATTGGTGTCAAGTTGATACCAGTTTCATGCAGCATAGAAAGTGAAAAAGCTGATTTTCATTTGAACCCAGGGATATCAGCAGTTATCTTACTGTCAGTGCATTCAGGTTTTCCCTCGGGCTGTCGTTCCCAACACTCATCTGTTGTGAACTGCACCAGATGAAAGTAGGTTTAGGTATGTCTGAAAGTAAACTTTTTACACTGCAGCTGAAGATTGTGCTTTGCAAGGATCTCTCGTGGAAAGATACTGCAGGGGGCAGGCTGGGGCTGTTGCTTTTGAATAATTCAGTTGCTGTCTGCTCCTGAGGATTGGCTGACTTGTTTACATGAATGAGGAGAGCATAGCTTAAAAGACTTGGGATTGCACAATGAGGCATTTGGTAGGGAGGTCTTCTCATAAACAGAATTCCTGTCTTGTTTAGGTTACCCACTGTGGCATACTTCGAGAGCAGTACAGTGAAAGAGTGCTCAGTCTTAAAACCCTGGGACTGTTCACCTACAAGAACATAAAAGGTCAGGTTTTGAAGTGGCCACACATGCAGGGCTTATAGTTCAAATTATTTCAGGACTTAAATCATAGTTACTTCTGCAGGGGACTTGGGCACAAGGTACTTGATGAACAGTTGAACTAGATCCAGGATGAAGTTCTTATTTGGCATGTAGTTTCTCTTCTTCTGTGACATGTAGTTTGTGGAATAGGGTAATGCCTGTGGATCCCAGTGTTTTTTGCAAGTACTAAGTCTTGCAAAACACTACATTGTAGATAAAGTAATTTTTTCAGATGAGCAACTAATGTGAAAGTTCACTTATTTGTAAGCTTACAAAAGGAAATTAGTAAAAGATTTTCAAGACCTTAGTTTTGAAGCTTGGAGGTTAAGTGACAGTTACTTTCTGTAAGTGGGGAGAGTACAGTCTTATGGTCCAGAGTACCAAAATTTTTGACTAGGAATTGATTGGCTAGCTGTTAAAATTTTTCTGTAAAAATCTGTATTAGAACATTTTGTGATTGCAGTATATGGTAAAATACAGATGGAATGTTTTTCAAAAACAGACCTAAGTGCATCTGTAAGGGAATATATAGGAAGATGTCTATTCCATTTTTCTCCCATACAGGTAGCTAATTTAGTTTAAAACTACCTAGTTCATTTAACAAAACAGTCTTTTCTGTCTCCATCATAAAGGTTTTGAAAATGCCTATTTATCTATATCTAAAAAGAACACTACCCCAACCTTTCAAAGTCACACAAGGGTTAATTCTTGTAACAAAATATGGTCGTAGAACAGATTCCAGATTTGTTTTGTGTTTGTCATTTAGAGCCTCCCTTCCAGAATTATGCAAGTTTATTTCCTGCTTCTTTTAAGCAAACTCCTGTTTTTAAATGTGTTTTTTAAGTTTGTAATTTATAGTCTGAGAAAGGCTGGACACTGTTCTTAAACTAGAGACTGCAGATGAGAAATTTCCATTCAACTCCAGTTAATGTAAACTTGGAGGTGGAAGCTGAAAGTAAGAGATGTAGTGAAGCACATTGAACTTAGTCTGGGCTCTGTAGTAAATGTAGATAGAAGACAAGTACTTTGAGGTAGGATTTAAAGTAGGAAAGGTAGAAGGGTAGAATGATTTGGTGTCTTCTCATACACTATTGTTTATATAAATCTAAAGCTGGGCTGGAAAAAGAAGAAAAATGTAAAACCTAAGTGCTGATTGATAGCTACCAGTTTGTGTCTAACTTGAATTCTCAAATGCACCGCACTTTCCAGATCCTCTAAAGAAAGATCTTCCAGAGACAAAGAGCGTTCAAGAGATCGTGATCGAACATCCCGTGACAAAGACAGAAGCTCGAGGGAGAGGTCGCCGCGGGATTTCAAAGACAAGAAACGCTCGTACGAAAGCGCTAACGGCCGATCGGAAGAGCCGAGGAGCTCGGAGGAGCGTGAAGCAGGGGAGATATAACTGGCTGTATATTCACCTGATCTCTAGCTTCCTATGGAGTTGCATACTTTGGTTTAGTTTACAGTTGTTCAAAGGGACACCAGTGAGCAGTTCCAACACTGATACAACTAGGGTAGATGTACAGTATATAAAAGTGGTTATAACAAAGTCAGAATTAAACCCCATGAATTAATGGTGCCTAAAGCTGGGTCCTGGACTTCCACCAAGTTGTAAAACTTTTCTGAAAGATTTCTCTCTATTCAGGACAACAGTTTTATGTACCAAGACGCAGATCTCAATGTTTTTAATCTCCTTTCCAATACAAGTTAGTGAACAAATTATATTGTACTACTTGCCTTGGGTGCTTTTGAACCTTTATAAATTCTCCAATTCTGCTCCAGTCAAAACAGCAGCATTGAAAGGTTGTATTTGGGGGGATTTTTTTTTTTGTTTGCTTTTTTGTAAGAGGGTGGGTGGATGGATATTAACTTTTACTCTAAGATTATGTTCCCAGTGTTGGGTTTTATTTTTGTTTGGGATCCTAGGAGTTGATTACAGTGGGAGCATTTAGACAGGAATGTGTGCTGGAGAAAGCGGAAATGTCTTTTTACAGTGCCTACTTAGACTTGGAAATTGAACAGCTGTTGCATTACATCTTTTTTATTTCTACTTAAATTTTGAAATCAAAGCCAGTCCCATATCTGTACCATTTGATTGGTATGTGTTCAATATATTTGTTTTTTTCCAGAAGGACTCTTTCTGCTTTTTCTTGTGGAGTACATCTTTAATTGTATTAAAACAAACAAAAGAACCAGCAACAACAAACAAAAATTAAGAACAAAAGAAATAAAAAAAATTTAAAAGAAACCATATTGTCCAATAACTTAACAAGGATATACTGGTCTGTTAAGGTGGTTAACTGGCAGTTCAGTCATTTTAAAAATACCTGATTATTAGTTTTTAACATACAGATGTGCTCTAGGAGAAGCAGTCATTCCTCTTACAATCCTGATTATTCTAGAATGTTCAAAAGCAGAAACATGTGGAGACAGAATCATAGAGCAGTTTGGGCTGGAAGAGACCTTAAAGATCATCCAGTTCCAACCCTCTTGCTGTGGTCAGAGACACCTTTCTCTAGTCCAGGTTGCTCAGAACCCCATCCAGCCTGGCTTTGAACAGTTCCAAGGATGGGGCATCCACAAGTTCTGTGGGCAACCCCTCACTACCCTCACTGCAAAGAATTGATTCCTAATATCCAGTCTAAATCTACCCTCTTTCAGTTTAAAGCCATTCCCCCTTGTCCTGACACTACATGCCCTTGTAAAAAGTCTCCCTCCATTTGTAGGCTCCCTTTAGGTACTAGAACATTCTGTAAGATCTCTCCAGAGCCTTTTCTTCAGGCTGAACAACCTGAATTGTCAGGAGTGGTGCTTAATCCCTCTGATCATCTTTGTGGCCTGCTGTGGGCCCACTCCAATAGGTCCATGTCCTTCCCGTGCTGAGGATCCCAGAGCTGGATGCAGCATTGCAGGTGCGGTTGGTGGGGATCCCACCCGGGCAAAGCAGAGGGGCAGAATCCCTTCTCTGATCTTGTTGCCCACACTGCTTTGGGTGCAGTCTAGGACACATTTGGCTTTCTGGGCTGTGAGTGCACGTTGCTGGGTTGTGCCTAGCCCCACATTCACCCCAAGTCCTTTTCAGCAGGGCTGCTCTCCATCTGTTCATCCTTCAGCTTGGATTTGTGCTTGGGATTCCCTGGCCCAGGTGCATCACCTTGCACTTGGCCTTGTTGAACTTCTTGAGCTTTGAACACACCCACCCCTCAAGCCTGTTGAGGTCCCTGTGGATGTATCCCTTTCCTCCCGTGTGTTGACTGCACCAACTTGCTGAGGGTGCCCTTGATCCGAAGGGGTTGCTGTCCATTCTGTTGGATTTAAAGTGCTTTGGGGTATTTAAGCTACTCAGATATGCCCTACTCCCACACAGAAGAATTTAGATATTGGTAAGTTTTCCTCATTGTGATCACACCACTGAGTTACCTGATAGTGATGCTTAAGAGCAGTGTTTGTAATGATCTGTTGGCATTTCCAGCAGGTTCTGCAGCCTGTCTCTCCCTAATGCAAGTGCCTATGACCGCCTGCTAACGTCCTTGTGTAATACCATTCACTCTGTGCATCCCTCCTCAGTGTCATTTCTGTAGCATCTTCGGTATGGTCAGAGCACACGGGTGATAATTCTAACACTGAAGATAATTTAGCAGTGTATTGACTGGCAGAACAGGACATTTACACCTCTGCAAGGACTTGGATCCAGCACTGCACATTCCACTTTGAATTCACATCATTTTAAGCTGCCAAAGTGATGATGACTAACTACTTAAACATTTATTTATTTATCCATTTGAATACTGAGCATGAGTTTCCTTCCTGGGACTGTTTTTTGATTTCCTGGATGGCCCAGGTGGTTGATGAAGGGAAGTTACCAGTGTTTGTCCATCTGCTACAGACAGAGTCTAAGTGCTTGAAAACATCTATCATCACACAGTTGTTAATGGAATTCTAGTGGTGTGACAAAAGGTGACCAGTCATTTCTAGATATATCTTACATAGCACAAGTGCCAGTGATTCCTTTGGAATTCCTTTCTGGATTATATTCCAGAAATACTCAGGACCTGTCTCCGCCTGCAGCCAGCAACTACAAATTTTGTATTGTAAAAAGGGGGAGGAAGGGAGGGTGGGTGAAACTTGCATACTGTGACAAAACAGTGCCTAGACTCCACACTAGCAAATTCTGGATAATATGCCATCCACTTTACAAATGGCTTTTAAATTTAAATTGCAGAAGGGAGATTGGGTTTGGGCCTTCCCTTATGTAGAGGAAGTACCACGCTAAATGTTAAGCAAGAAGGTATCTCTGATTCCCTCATAAAATAATCTGAATTACTTGTGAAAATACAGGACGGAAGTGCAGTTGGGAAGAAAAAATTAGGATGACTGATGAAACACACTTAGGATGCAAAAGATTTGGAGCATCTATCAGAAGAGGAGAGTTGTGCCTAAATACGGATCTTCCACTCATCAGAACCCAATGACCTTAATTTCCAGGACTGAAAAACTGAGGTATTCATCACCTGTAAATTTCCTGCTGGACAGCTGAAGTGTGGTATGGATTGACCTTAGTCTTCATGGTTAAATAGATTGTGAAATGAAGCTCTTGAGAGAACCTAGGGGTGCTGTAGATGAGCATCAGCTTTTGAGATCTTGGAAATTTTGCTAATGCAGTTGTAGCTCTATAGCAGTTTTTCTCAAACTGAAGATGTACAAAATGAGCAGAAAAAGTAAATAACTGATTTAAAGTGTTTGAACTGCAGTGAACTTGCAAGCATCATTCCCATATCTTATAATCAGTCCGGATTACAAAACAAAAAGGTTAAGATGCTAAGGAGCTGGAGAATGGCACATTACCAGAAATGAGATCCTCTCCTGAACATGGAATGGTAGAATTGGTTACTTTGAAAAAGCCCATCAAGAACATCGGATCCACCCATTAACCCAGCACTGCCCAGCCCACCACTAAACCATGTCCCCAAGTGCCACATCTTCCTGCCTTCTGAGTACCCCCATGGATGGCAACTCAGCCACCTCCCTGGGCAGTCAGGCTCAGTGCCACCACAGCCTGTGTGTTGCTTTTCCCACTGCAGCAGGAGGAACCGCACAGTAAAATCATTTCCATGACATTTCCAAGCAGAAGCTTGGCCTAGTGCCACTGTATCCCATTACCCAACATAAGACTTGCCAGTGGAGCTGCCACAGGAGGCTGTTCCTCTGTCCCCATGCCTTCCATCAGCTGTTGGATCTGGGAGTTACCATCCCATTACTTCAATGATAGCCCTGCCCTGGAGCCCCTTTCCCTGTCCAGCCTATCTTGCACCACCCATCCCCAGGGGGAATGGGAGAAAATAGGTAAACCAGCTCTCTAAGCCAGTGCAAAGTGATGACTGAGCAAATGTTAAATAGCCCTCAAGCAGGGATTATCTATGTAGCTGAAGAGAGAATGGTAGCAAGACTTGACCCCTGGGGCCAGTGCAAGGCACCCAAGGGCATGGGTGGCTACATCCAAACAGATAATTTAAGCTGTACAGACAGAGAAGTCGGGGGCTGCAGTCAACATTAAACCAAGTATAAATGCAGACTGAGACACAGTTCAGAGGCATTGGCAGTGTGCAGAGTGTTGTGTAGGGGTGTGCAGCACCTGATAACCCCTCCAGTTTACTGTTCTCTGTCCCACATTTCACATGCCACCTTCCTCAGTATCATTTTCCTTTATTCCAAGGCAGTAGAGATTAGTTTCTTCTGATGTAAGAGCTTATAAAAAAGGTTAATGCACTCTTCATCCAGTCCTGCATGAAAGTTCTTTCTCTTTAGTTTTATGCTTTGATCAATTTTATCCACTTGCTTAATAAATTCATGCCCTATTACTACTCATGTGATTATTTATTATTTTCAGTAAGAACTGAAATCTGTCTTTCCCTGCAGTTTGCAAAACAGGGAAGCAGAATCCTGCACAATGCGGAATTTCAGGAGCCAGCCGGCCACTCCAGGCCACAGGACCCCGAACACCAACGCCGGCCCTTTTCCCTGGCAAACAAAACTCACCAGGCCAGGTTCCTGATGGCAGATTGCAGGAGCCACTTGGCACTGTCAAATCAGCCCCAGGTGCAAGTGGCGCCAGCTTGGGTCCGGGAGGCATCCTGCACAATGAGGAATTTCAGGAGCCGGCTGACCACACTGGATAAGGCTGATTCCAATGAAATGGCTTAGGAGGAAGCCGTGTTGTGGCAGTTTTGTGTTGCCCTTGGGATGCCTTTTGCAGCTGCAGTGTGCCTGGAGCTCTGGGGTCTGTGGTTTCAAAACCCCAACCCTAGCTGGAACCCTAACCCCAGGTAGTAAATGTAGGCTTAGGCTAAGGCTAAGCCTAAAATGTCCTAAGAAACTCTCAAGAATCCCCTATATATCCTTAGAAGGTGTGGAAAAGTCCTGAAAAAAACCTGCTCGACCTCCAAGCCCCACCTGTTTCTCTAACCCTCAGATGTCTTCCCTACCTTTTTTGCAGTGGATCTTGTCCTCTGAGTGTTTGTTCTCTCATTGTCCTGGTGTGAGGGTTGCTGTCCTGTCCCATCGGGAGGGTTCCGCTCTGGTCTCGCTCTTAGGGTTGCTGTGTTGTGCTGCTGTTGGGGGAACAGGCTGTTGTTAGGGGGGCTGGTTAGGCCAAGGTTAGGGCTGGGCTGAGGGGTGCTGCACCTCTACCTACCTTGCCTCTGAAGCTGCACCCTGTAGCAGCCCTGATCTCCACTGCACTGTCCAGTCCTTAAAGCCCTCTCCCTCTGCCCCTCAAGCCCCCTCTCAGCTGCCCCTCAGCTCCTGTGTGTCACCCTTAATCCCTCTCCTTTGCCCCTCAGCCCCCAGCTTCTCGGTGTCACCCTCCAGCTGCCCCTGCCACCCTCAGGATCTCTGTGTGTCACCCACTGTCCCCTCTCCCTGCTCCTCCCTCAGCTCCCAGCCTCTGCCACCCTCAAGCCCCCACAATACCTCTCAAGCTGCCCCTCAGCCTCTGTCATGCCCTGAAAAAACCCTAAAAAACCCTATCAATTCCCTAAAAAGCCCTAGTTTTCAAAGTGTCCTAAACACCCCACAAAAACCGAAAAATAGCCTCAGAATACACTAAAAATACTCTACTTTTAAAAAGCCTCTAAAACACCCCTAAAAATCCCCAAAGAACCTCTAAAAAATCTCTAAATAGGCCTAAAAGAGCTCTAAGAATACCCCTAAAATCTTTAAAATGCCCTGATAAGACCCTAAAAAAGCCTAAAAAATTCCTTTAAAAACCCTAGAAATACCCTAGTCCTAAAAAGTTCTCCATATACCCTCAATACTCCTCAAAAAGCCCTAAAAACTTTTAAGCAGTGCTAAAAAAGCTCCAAGATTACCCAAAAACACCCCTAACAATTCCAATTAGTAGTAAGCCCTTAAAACAGCCTAAGAAATTCTTTTAAAAGACCTGAAAAAGCCCCAAAGGTATCCTAAACAATCCCAGAGAATTCCTAAAAAACTCCTGCAAAAAAAACCCCTAAAATATCCTTAAAAATCCCTGAAAAAAACCCTAAAAAACTCCTAAAAGACAGTTTAACTCCTACCTGTAACTCTGTGGCCTCCAAACATCATCTCTACCTTCTAACTGGGGTAATTGCCTGCACCTGCTGGGAGGGTTCTGGGGCTGTCCCACCATTCGGGTTCACCTGTACCCTAACCCTACCTGGTACCCCGAGTCCTTTGCACCCCTAACCCTCAGTGTCAGCTCTCCACCTCTCAAGCCCCCCCCTCTTTGCCCCTCAGCCCACAATGTCTGTGCATCTCCCAAAGCCCGTGTTCGGGATCCCACGTGCTGCTGCAGGGAGTCACCGCTGGGTGGTGGGGGAAGTGAGGGATGGGGTGACCTGCATTGAAGAACCCCAGCAGAGGGCCAGCCACTCAGCACCAGAGGACCCTGAACACCAACACCAGCCCTTTTCCCTGGCAAACAAAACTCACCAGGCCAGGTTCCTGATGGCAGATTACAGGAGCCACTTGGCACTGTCAAACCAGCCCCAGCTGGCACTGGTGCCAGCTTGGGTCTGGGAGGCATCCTGCACAATGCTGACTTTCAGCAGCCAGCTAGGCCAGGCTGGGCCACAGGCCCCCAAACACCAACACCAGCCCCTTTGCCCTGGCAAACAAATGTTGTATCAGCAGCTGGAAATACAAGGAAAGAGGAAGAAATGTTTGCTTCTAGCCCTGGCTTTCCCTGCTTTCCCCTCTGTGGGCATGTAATGGAGTCGGCAGGCAATTAGAAAGTTGTCTCATGACCTACCTCTCCTGGCCCTGGCTTTTCAGTTCTTATTGCTGGGCAAACTGCAGTCCCAAATCCCTTTCCCTAGGCTCAGTGGTGCTGCCAGACCACTGCAGGCAATCAGAGTTATAGGAGATGCTCCATCAGAAAAGCAGGATTAACTAGCAGCAAAGTAGGGCTGGACACCAGCAAGGTCACAAAGGGCCTGAGAGCAGCAGGAGCTGCCGTGGCTGTACAGCCCTTTCCCACTTTCCCAGGCTGAAACTATCTGACAAGTGCTGACTGTGGTAAAGTATTGATGGTGATGCTCATTTAAGTGCACAAGGGTTAGAAATCGTTCCAGGTGCTGGCTCAGAGGGGTTGAAAAGAAGGCACTTTTACAGCACTGGCCCTCAGGCACCTTCAGCCCGGCTGGAGCCTCTGTCTCCATCTCTGGAAGGTGGTAAATGGGTGGGGACTTTGCACTGGAACCACTGTAACTTTTCTAAGGGCTGCCTTCAAATCTTCGGAAGCTCAAACTGGTTTGCAGCAGAGCAATGGGAGTAAAGAACTGCCACCGCCTCTTTTCTGAGCTTTAACTACTTGTACTCCTTCAGAGGGATTTGAGACTATAAATAGTTTTTTACACATATTGTTCTTGTTTTACAGTTTTTGCCAGTTCTGTGCAATATGCTTCACTTTCTCCCCGAGCTGAACAGAAAACTGAAGCAAATAAAGCAGCCTGCCCCATCTTCCCCTCTGGCTAGAGTTCCTCTTCTGGACTTCGGGATGAAGCATCCTTTGCCAAATGCACTGGGTGATGAAAGCTACATGTTAAATGAAGAAACCTCTGCATTTTTACTTGTTTACAAAACTGTTGCATCATGGTTAAGTGGAATCCATGAGAAGCCTGACTGCCACAAGTGTGATGAGTGCCTGGGTGGGAGCTTGAGGTGGTTTTTGAAATCCCCCAGTACCACCGGTAAATGTGCACTGAAACCAGCTGCCATTGCTGCACATCACCTTTTCTGTGAAGCAAATGAGAGGGCACATCTGCTTTCTCTGTGTTTATTGCATTACACTGAAGCAAACCAGCATGTGGTTATTTGCAGTTATTAGCTGATTATTTCACCAAGTCTAAGGAACACCAAGAAAAGCAATTAAATAGTTCAGGACCCAGTTAACACTGAAGGGAGGCTCAGGCTGTGTGACTGAACAGAACGAGTCCCGTTCCAGGCTGAGGCCCCTGTGCTGCCCACACAGCAAGGCAGCAGTCTCCATCAGCTGGGTGCATTCTGAGTGCACCAGAGCCAGTGAGCTCTACTCTTGCTTCATGGGGGAACTCAACCCAAGTAATTTCCTGGGAGTAACACAGTGAAATCCACACCCTGGAGACGTTCATCCCTGCCCAGAGGGGTCCAGTGGTGACCACACTCAGTGTTGTCATCCCTTGTGCTGGAAGCTGCTCTGAGAAACCAAGGCTGGGTGAATCTCCTGGCTTATGCAAGATGGGCCTTTCCTCATGTCTCTCCCAGATGCTGGTCATTCCCATACAGCACTTCCCCCTTGTTTAAGTTCAAACACAAAACAAAACTCAGGCCTCTTAAATAATGACCTCTACAAAGATTCTAGAGATGCTTCAAAATGTCCTGTCATTCATGAGGATAGAGAGGTGGTAGGTGAGCCAAAGAGCTGCTGGTGCTGCTGGCAGGAGTAAGTCTTTCTTTTAGGAATAGAAAGCTTAAAGTCACCATCTTAAAATGCAGTCTTCAAGGACAGTGGCCAGAGGAACCCACCTGAAACAAACTGCAAAGCAAATCAGGATTTGTTGGTTGACTTTGATGTATCTGCAGCTTTTGTTTAGCTGTAGAAACTCAGTTTGCTAAGGAAATTATTGACATTTATATTCTATATTGTATAAGCCTTTTTTCTTGCTTTTTTAATTTTTAAATTTTAATTTTTCCAGCTGTGGCTGGGGGCCCAAAAGCAGCAAATCGGTGCTGGCAAGTTGTTTGAAGAGCCTGGAGGGTGCACAGCCTCACCAACCCTCCTCTTTGTAGATATTGTTCAGGTGGGTACAGATTTCATTGGTGACCTTCTCAAAGGAAGCTTTGCAGTCTCCGCCAAATTTCTCCTCCATCAGTTGTAAGATAATGTCACAGATAATCTAAACAAGGAGAAGGGAAGAAACAACCAGGGTGAACTTTGCTCCATATTAGAGGCATAAGAACTTACATATCTTTAGCTGGGATTCTTGGAGGGCAGAAAGGGGTACAAGAACAATTCAGAGCACGTGACCTGCAGAGCTTGTAACAGGGCATGGAAAATAAGCTGCATTATAGAATTCACCATAAAACTGCTGCTGGTGTTTTTAACTACCCCAGTTAATGTTGACTGCACCTATCACTTAAGGATAGCTGTATAGGACTGATGTGCTTCATCCATCCACTGCAATCCTTCTCCAGGCAGGGGACTGTCCCAAATATTTAGAGGCCATGATGAGCCCTCTGTTGGACACCTATGGAAAACATACATGGCTTGGGGGCTAAGTTTTTCCCTGACCTTTCCTGCTCGTTAGCTATCCAGCACGCTGTAGCAGAGTTCTTGCAGTAAGGTAGGTGGTATACTTTGAAATGCCAACTCCTTTCCTCTACAACATTTATTGTTTTATGTGCATTTTTACCCTGAAAAAGTATTTTCAGCCATAAATCATCACTTATTTTCCCACTCATTGAAAATTGGGCCCACTGCTTTTGAAATCACCTTCATTTGGAAATAATCTTTGCCAGAAGGTGCCTCTTTTTGCTGTGTAAGGCAGACAAAATAGTTATAAATGCACTCTGCTAGTGACCTTAGGTGGATCTGGGCAAGTAATTTGACCCTGTATTTATTATTTGAGTTTGTTTAATTATGACAATGCTGTTGTCATTGTTGCTCAATAACAGCTGGTTCAGTTGTCCTGGAAAATCTCAGCTCCTGTTACAAGATAAAAAATACATCAGGGACTGAGGTCCAGTGTTAAAGTCCTTTTCTGTATCTTGTTATTAAAATGGCAGGTATGGGAATCGTATTGCTCTGAGAAAACCCTCTACAACTCATGGGCAGCAGTGCAGCTCCCACCACATCACCTGCCTGCACCACATCTGCTGTCCAGCCATCTTCCCCACCAATGCCAGATCTCTCACTCCTGACATCTTCCACCACCAACCTCCTCACCTTCCACCACCTCCACTCTCTGAGGCATATATATGTATTCCTACATACAAAGCCTATGTTCCTCAGTTCTGCCCCTCAAAGAGGGAAACATGCTCTCCTCACAATTACACCCTTTGGGAAGAGGGCTGCTCACTCACCCTAAAGTTTTTGGGGTCAATCTTCAGCTGGGTGGCATGTTTCTTGCCAAGTGGGGTCACTATCCCAAGAAAAGCCTCAGAGTTGTCCAGGTGTTGCACCATGTCATTGATGGCACTGAAAACCTTCTTGCCATGGCCCCTGACTTGATCTGACTGTTTCATCTCTTCAGCAGAGTCCATGCCTTTGAAATGTGTGAAGTAGGACTTGGTGTCTGGGTGCTCAGTAAACATCCTGTTGAGGAATGAGAGACATCCTGACTTGTGAACCAAGGTATTAATGCAGATATAGCCACACATTCCAGGCCCTGCCTTCCACATTTATGTCTCTTTTCCCCCTTCTCTTTATTAGAACAGACACTTCTGCATTCCTTGTTTCTCCTTTGCCTTTTGCACCTGTGCATAACCCCCAGGCACATAGCAGCCAGTCCTCTCTCCCTTGCCTCTCCAGGGCATTTCCTTTGCTCATTCCACCTTAAAACCTATAATGAGCTTATTCCACTCATTCTAAAGATAATATATTCTCTGTGTTACTTTCACAAAGAAGTGGCAGCACGTTCACATGACTGTGACAGTTTAATATTCCCAAAGATGTTCTGGACAACAGATATGACCACTGTGATACTGGTGGGTGTTTTCATAGAGAAACCCTACTATTGGTTTTGTTAATTAATTCCTTCCTAGAGTCCACTGCAAAACTTTCTCACTGCCTGTGACAGACTGTTGTCTGAGTATGGGGTACTGCTCATTCCATTTATTCAAAAGTAACACAATTCAGTGTGTTTGAAATTACCTTTGATCAATTACAGTCATCTTGGTCAAACTCTTTTAACAAAAGCAGTTTACTCCTTTGGGTATACTGGTTATCCACCTGAAATATCTATAGCAAATTCTACAATGCATTTCACAAAAAAGACTCACAAAATGGTTGGGCTTGAAGGAACCTCTGGAGGTCATCTGGGTCAACACCACCGGTCAAGCCAGTTGCTCAGGACCATGGTCAGATGGCTTTTGAGTATCTCTGTGTATGGAGACCCAACAACTTCTTTGGGCAATTTGTGCCAGTGCTCAGTTGCACTCAGAAGTAAAAAAGGAAAAAAAAGTTTCCTGATGTTGAAGGGAACACCCTGTGTGTCAGTTTGGGCCCATTGACTCTGGTCCTGTCTCGTGGCTCCACTGAGACGAGCCTGGCTCTGCCTTCTTTGCTCTGTCCCTTCAGGTTTTTATGTACACATTGACAAGATTCCCCTGAGTTCTCTCTTCTCCAGGCTGAGCAGTCATAGCTTTCTCTGCCTTTCTTTATTGGAGAGATACTACAGTCCCCTCATCATCTTCCTGGCCCTTTGTTGGACTCTTTCCATTATGGCCACGTCTCTCTTGTCCTGGGAAGCCCTGACCTTCTCTATAGGCAGGCCTGGGGCTGTAGGACACTAAAGCAACACCTTCTAGAGTAAATTAGCCCAGGGAGGCAAGCTACTGGATGCTACTAACATCTTATGGCTGCATTTCCGACCCTAACTGTGCTCAGATTGTGCCACCTGCAGAAGGAAAGAGCAGCATGTAAGGCTTTGTGAGGGTAATCCAGGCACAAGGTGTGACATACAAGGAAGCTGGAGGGAGGGGTAAATGTCTGATAACTAGAAATAGTATTTTAACTGATCCATGCTTATGGAAGTGATGTAAGTCCCAGATGAGAGTAGAGTATGTGAAAGGTGAACAGAAGAGAGGGAAACAGGATGGAAATTAAGAGAGGAAAGTCCACAGAAAGGTTATAATACAGTGGAACGGATGGACTGAGGCTGAAGGAGAATCAGAAGTGAAATACCGAGTTTTTAAAAAGCATTAAAAGAGTTTAGAGGTAAAGAGGAAAATAACACCCATATTTTGTTCCCATTCCCTTTCATACCACCTTTTCTTTACCTTACATGGGTGAAGATACTGTTCTTGTCTCTTCTTCTTTTCCCATCCCCTTACCCCTTTGTTTTTATTTTTCCTTGTGTGGATTGCTCCTCTTCCCAGCAAGGGCTGCATGAAAAACACCATGACATGCTCCTAGGCAGTAACTCCATCCTTGCTGTTCCTCCTTCACCCCTCCAGGGCAGCAGTTGGATGGGCTCTTTCCTTACCTGACCAGCACAGCTGTCCCATTGTCCTCAGCATCCACATATATCTTCTCCCAGGCACCACGAGCACTTTGCACCTCTGCTTCAGAAAGTGACATGGTGGAGGAGATGCTGGCAACAGAGGGTGCAGCAGGAGGGAGAAGGACAGGGAGGTCCTGCAGGGTTCTTCTGCTCCAGGTCTCTCCTCAGGGCTCTCTAAATACTGCCCTGGGGATTTAAGAGATCTTGAAGGGTCTCTTTGTCTCTGTTACCCTCAGTAACATTTCTGCAGGTTTTAGAGCTACCTAATCACTTTTAATCAGGAAAGAAACCAACCACATGAGGAAGAGGACTAGCCCTGTAGTCATAGGTCAGGTGCCAAAGCAAAGGTCTCACTGTCTGAGGACAGAAGGGAAAAAAGGCAGTTTTCAGTGGGGGAAAAAAAGATAAATTCTCTTCCCCTCTCTCCCCTGCCAAAGCCAGTGCTTGGCTTCTTTTCCTGAAGGTGATCCTTGCCTGAGCACTAATTTTCCTGGTTTTCTCCCAAGAGTGCTGCTGTGCTGAGGGCACTGTGGTGCCCTGCCATCCCCTCTCCCTGGCACTCTTTGGTCTTTCAGTCAAAGATCCTGTTTCTAGTCCAGCAATTCTCTCCAGTCCTGCCTTCATTCCACAGTCTCTGCTTTCCCCACAGCTCTCTGGTTTTACAGGGGCTCCCCCCACAGCTGCTCCCAGCCTTGGTCCCATGAGGGTGGGAGGCTTCATCAGCCCAAAATCCCAGCATTGCAGGGATGGTGATGGCAGCGTGGCACAGCATCCACAGCCATAGTGCCCTGCAAAGCCACTTCCTTTTAGCACTGGAGGTAAAGGGTGCACAGGAGCAGAGGCATTTCACTTTCCTAACCCTCTTGGCTGGCAGCTGGGATCTCTGTCCTGTCTCTGAGCTCTGACTGCCTGGGAGAGAGAGAAGGGGTGGAAGAAGGGCCAGAGTGGAGCTGCAGACAGAATCTCTGGACTTGTTACAGTCACAGTCACTTGGAACTGGAGGCAAAAAGTTTTCACGGATTATCCATGCAATGCCTGGGCTTAACCTCTGGCAGGAATGTTCTGGTTAAGTCCAGGGCATGAACACAAAATAAGGGCTAAGGGGCTTGAGAAACTGCTGCTGGATGCTGAGGGCCGACAAAACTTCATATTGTTTGGGATGGTTTAGAGGGGGGAAGGAACAGGTGTGAGGGGAAAATATGCAGCATGTCAAGAAAAACCAGCCTGATACCCCAGGGCAGAAGGAAAGTGCTGGATGCAAACTCACAGAGACTGACTGGTCTTGGTGATGGTTGTGTCCCACTGCTGCTGAGGGAGGCTCAAATGATCTCACTGAAATCTGTCCCCTCTTGCCTCCCTCTCCCTTTTTACCACACAGCAAACAAAGAGCAGTCTGGTAGAAAGCTGCAAAGCATCTGTGGGTGCCCCATCCCTGGAAGAGTTCAAGGCCAGGCTAGAGGGGACTTTGAGCTACTTGGTCTAGTGGAAGGTGTCCCTGCCCATGGCAGGGGGGTTGGAACTGGATGATCTTTAAAGTCCCTTCCAATCCAAAACATTCTATGATTCCCTAGTAGACTTCTCCTCTGCTCTCCCCCATTCTCCTCTGGGACACTGCAGTATGAACATGCTCCATCCCTTGATATATAGTCAGACATGCTGTCATGGGCCAAAAATACCTATTTTGAGTTGAGAAATTTCAATCCAATTGCCTTATTGCCAAGTAACAAAAACAGCCAACCAACACTTAGATGCCTCACTTCCCCCTGTCCTGTTTCCCCACCCCATGCTGCAGGTTACAACCAGACCTTTTGGTGAGGCCATGGGTGGTGCAGGAGCTGGGATTGGTGTGTGGGAGTCCCTTGCTCGTGCTGCTCCTTGTGTCCCACTCAACTGCTCCAGCATGGGCTCTTCCACTGGTCATCATCCTGTTGGATACTGTACCTGCCCTGAACTTTTCTCTCCCTTTTCAGTGCTCCCTGCCCTTTCTTAAACACATTTCCATGGAGGCACATTTATCTTACTTGGTGGGCCCAGTTCTGGGGCCAGGGTGACAATTTTGTCTGTGACCAAGCAGGTGTCAGCAGCACAGGGCAATCCCTGACCAGACAAAGCAATGACATCTTCCCTCAAGCACGACACCATGCTCTCTCTGTGACATGCTTTTCTATTCTTCCATCCTCTGGTGTTACTTTTACTGTTTTGGAAAATTATCTTCTGTTTTCCCCTTGCATGATTTGCCAAGTCCTTGTAGATGAATACAATAATTCCTCATAAAGTTTTGATATCTCTAACAGGGTTATATACATTTATTCAACATCTCAGCAATCTCTAGCAATTGAAACAAAAAAGCTTCAGAAACCCATTTATTTTGGCCTGGAAATGGAAAAGCTATGGAAAATGTGCTGTTTAATCATAAAGTCATTGCTGATACCTCCCCACATGTGAGCAAGAGGATGAGTGCTTGGTTTATTTCTTTTTCCTCTCATGTTGTTTGTTTTGTTTATTATGCCAAAGGAAGTGAATCCTCTCATGCATAATTTCTATTGCATGAAGAGACATATTTTCTAACAGGGGTGAAGTTCCTCTGGATGCTATCCCTAGAGAAAGGAATCCTTGTGTGCAAGAGCAAAACAACACCTTGAGTCAAAATATGACTTTATTACAAATCTGAAGAACAGGGGGACAGGCCAGGCCTTTTACAACCTTTTGGGAAACAAGCAGAGTCCTTTTTACAAAAAGGTAACCAAAACCAATTCATATAGAAACAGGAGATTGGTCACTCATGTTTGTGTTACAAAATTGTTGATGTGCATGTGCTGATCTCAGTCCAGTTTATTATCCTATCATTTCCACATACAAATTCCCCTGGGGATGTGTTCTTTAACATTATAATTATCTAAGGTAACTTGAGGTTGTCTTTACATCCTATCACCTGTTGCTAAGTTAAATGATAACTTTATTTTGTTAAACCTCTGTTGCAGTTTCTGCTTGAATCTATTTGAACCATTACTTGTCAAGGACATAAGGATTTATAGCATTCTGTTCCTAGGGTCTCTTCATGGTTCCATTCATCCAGCACCCCACTGTCATGGTTTCAAGGCTAACTTATAGTGACTGCGAACTTGTTGTGAATCTTTAATTTCCTCTGACATCCAGCAAGCAGGGTGAGCCAGATGGCGCTGGGAAATCCGGAGCAGAAAGCACAGCCACGGTGTTTGGCCTGTGACAAAGCTGCTCCTCTTTCTGTCCCCAGCAGGGGGAGAAGGGGATGTGCCTCTCACCTCGCTGCCAGAAGTGGTGTCAGTACTGCAGAAGGGGGGTTGCTTTCTCTCAGTTTCCAAGAAATCACGTGTTTTAGGCAGAATGCAGCTGGCAAGATCCAGCCACGGAAATGGGCGACACCTTCTACTCACTCAGCTGTTTAGGATCCAGCAGCCATCACAGCTCTAGAGCTCATTGATGTCCTGGTTGGAGGCACTGCAAACCTCAGTGTCTTTTCTTATCCTTGAAACTTGGGCATCTGTGATTCTGTGTTTTTTAGCATAAACACCCTATTTGTTGTTCAGCAGGGTTGATTCCCAGCTCAGCAGACACACCTGTTTCAGAGGATGGCTGCCAGGGGCTCAGCAGCTGTAACTCTTATTTTCCCAACTCCCATGGTGGTGTCAGGCTCAGGGTGGAGCCCCCCACATTGCCAGGTTTCAGGGACGCTTAGCCCAAGACCCTGACACTCAGTGCTGCTTTCACAGAAAGGACAAACACCTGCATCTGCTCATGCTCAGTGTCTGAGGTTATCAACATAATCAGCTCATCAAAACAAGCAAAACTAGGAGCTGCAGTCACAACTGTTGGTGTTGTTATAAATTATCAAATCGGTAGCCAAATTTATTAAAAATTTAACAAAGATTTATTGGATCGATAACAAAAAAAATAGAATTTCGGAAGAGAACCACCACAGCCAAGACAGCATCAGCCCTGGGCGCAGGCACTGGGTGAACCAGGGTCCACTGACAAAGTGACAGCGTGTCCCCAGGAGTTCACCCCGAGTGCTTCCAGCAGCCAGCTTATATACAGTTTATTCTGCCTGAGGCAGGGATGACCACATATTTCTTTGTGTCTCTTCACATGTAGAGTTGGATCCATACATGTGCAAGAACAGACGGAGACGGATCCGGAGACTCAGACAAATGATGAGTATCCAGGCAGAAGCTGCATTCACAGGTATTCGAATGATACCAGTTCCTGAGTACTGCAGATGTAATCATGCCCAGGTGCAGGTCTTGTGAGCTCCTTGAGACATTCCATTAATCATGGTCCAGGAAGGTCCAGATGCTATCTCCCAGGTGTAGATGCCAGGGGAAATCATCTATGATGGTCTGGGACTGTCCAATTCATACAGTTGTTGGATCGGCAGGAGAAATGCGGCACACAATATGAGTGAGCAGCAAGTCTCGAACTTTATTGATAGTCACACACATTTATATTGGTGTTAATGAAGCTCATACATATTGCAAAGAAGAGCTCATTATTGGTTAGTTACTTATCAGCCAACTACACCTACTTCTGCATTCTTAAGGTTATTCTGTTACTACTTCTACATTCTTGTGATTATTCTGCTGAAACTATCTTCATATTTTTGGCAAAAGATCCTCTTCCCTATCCTGTTGTTGCACCAAGGGCACAATGTCCTTGTCAGTGGTTGGACACTGACTGCTGAATCCTGGACTTGTCTCCTTCTTGCTTAACCAGCAGTATTATGTAGATGTGACCTTTCTCAGCTAGCCAACTGTCCACAAAGCTCTCCACACTTCCCCCGTTTTTCTGTTGAACAAGCATGGTCTGATTAAATGCAGCAAATATCATCTTTTGCACCATGTTCTGTAGGCACGTGCAAAAACATGGCAAAATTAATACTACTAACAAAGCTATGATGCTTACTATAATGATAACCTTAACAATCGAGCGTAACCATGATCCCAGGCCTAAAGATTTGAGCCATTCATCAATACCAAAACCCGATTCTACCTGCAGGTTTCCAGTTAACTTCTGCAACTCAGAGAGTTGGGAGTGGATGGACTGTGAATGGTCAGAAAGGTTCACGCAACACATGCCTTCAAATTCTTCACAACCATGGCCTTGTGCAAGTAAAAGAAAATCTATTGCAGCTCTATTTTAAAGCATTGCATGACGAATAGAATCAACATCAAGCAAAAGGCTAGAAAGTGCCAAAGAGGTGGTATTGGTTTGCTTAGCAAGCCAACATCCCAACTTATTTAAAATGGCATGAGCACCTGCTGCCGATATCCCTGGAGCCAAGAAAGATGCTGCAACTATGGCCTCTGGGGACCAAAATTTTACATCGTCCTTGCAGTCTACAGCAAAATTTTACATCGTCCTTGCAGTCTGCAGTCTACAGTCTCCACATACGGTAACGGATCTGATATTATCTTAACGCTGTCCGGGAGCTGGTTACAATGAGAATAGAACTCTGCTCCCAGCCAGAGTGGTCAAAGGCATAACTTTGGACATTCACAATATTTTATACACACATATATCTATCTATATAGCATGAATTATCTATACCATATATTACAGTGTCAACGTCTGAATCCCAAAGCCCACCTAGCACATGGGTGGGAAAGGCTTTCCCCACTGCCACTGTCCCAGACCATACTTCTCTTCCCATTCCAGGGCCTTGGTGAGCTTGGGTGGAGCTGTGTTGGGCTTTCCACTGGTGAAAACACCAAATGCAAAGAGTAACAAAAAGCAGGATTACTCAGCTTCTTGGGACCTCGCCCCCAGAATAGCCCTTATGAAGTGTTCTGAGTAGTACCACCTGACATGGTAGAAATGCACATAGGTGTCTGTTATGAATATTTTTATTGCATGCATAACATTTTAAATGTGAAAGGTAATAATTTCAAAATCATTTCACTTTTCTATATCATAGGGCATAGTAAATATGCAGGTTAGTCCTCTGAATGCTGCTCTCATGATTAACAATATTCAACACATGGCCAGCAGTGACTCTAACATGATTATTCAACTAATAAGGATGACAGGGCTGAGCTTTCTTGCACTGTATCCAGCTAACCAAGAATTTGCATTGGTGGAGGCTGGTGTTCAGCAGAGAAACTTTACATCCTTGGTAAAGGGGAAGAAAGCCAACTCCACAAACCCCAGCCCACCCCAAACCATCAGTGTGCTATCAGCATCATTCTGGACCCAAACCACACACCAACATAAGGGTTGCTATGAAGAAAGTTCACTGCACCTCAGCCAGACACAGCACACTGCAGGACTGCATCCTTTTTGTGGACAAATTCAGGCTCATGAAGCCTTCACACTGCTCAATTTTGCACAGGTGCTGCAGGCAGGAGGAAAGAGATCAGTTTTTACAGATATAGAAAATATCATGCCCAAATCAGAGATACAGAGTACCAGGGCTGGACAGAGGCATCAGGCAGCAGCATATGCACTATTCACATCTGTAGTGTTACAACTGGCCCAATTGATGAGATTGAACCACCCCATCATTTAATGGAAACAGACTCCCATAGGTTTTGGACACAAGCCCCTAGACTGGTTCACTCAACTCCCTTGTCTGGGACACTGGAGCTTTAATTACATAGAGTTTATATAAATCATATTCTGAAGAAAACAGAAATCCACTAAATATCACCCCCAGCAGAATTAAACCTGGACTCCAGATAAAGTGACCTGATGTCGGAGAAACAGAAGGTGTAGCTGCAAGAAGACATCAGGCTAAAATAAACAGCTATGGGCTGCTTTATGTGGAAGTTAGACACCAGTCCAGAGACTTTCCATCAAATACAGGTATGTCACAGATGACTGTCTTGATGGTATGGACTATTGTGTTCAGAGATGCAAGCTAAAAGGGCATGAGATAAAGCAGCAGGAAAACCTGCTGTCAGATACAAGAGAAAACGAGATGTTGAACTGTAAGGGCAGTTGGTGAGGAATGGAAGGAACCAGAGAATCAGACTAGTACTTTTCCTGCGTAAAAAGAAAGTTGAATGATGAACTTACTGTCCAATTGTCTCCTCTATGGTAAAAGTCATAGAATTGTTAGAATCATAATGGTTGGAAAACGCATCCAAGATCTGTTCAATATGATGAGTGATAATTATAAGATAAAAAATCTATTATAACTGTACGACTTTCTTGGGAAGTAACATCAGTACATGTGGCTTTAAATTCAGTGAGCCCAAACTGAATCTCCACTTTCAGCCTGCGATTTAACCCCAGCCATGTGGCTGGTGATGGCACTTCACAGGAGCCAAGCATTTCCATCCCTTCCTCATCCACATACTGAGCATTCTGTTTTTTTGTACAATAGAAAGTAAAGGTTACCTTTGTTTGATCTGGTTCTATTGGAAAGAAATCATAGTGGGCAGCTTTGTGTATGTTCACTGACTCTCCAATTTCCACCAGTTTCTGGAAGAGTCCTGTGCAATAAATAAAGTCACCAGCTTTCGAGACCCTCCGTTTACGGATGTCATGGATAGCATCATCAAATTTCTCACACACACTTAAGCCATATGTCCTACAGCTGATTCTTGAGGTAATGATGTGTGGATTAACTCCAAATAAAACAGCCCCTTTTGCAATGGCTGCCTGGGCCTCCATGGGACAAAGGATATGATACTTGCTGCTAAAGGCCTGCCTGACTGCATCTCGCAGGATGATGCTGCATGCAAAGCCTCCCACAAGTAAAATGTACTGGACTTTATCCATCTCAGGTTTGGAAAGAATTTCCCTCAAAGCAAAAATTATATTGTTGACACTGTAGTCAAACAAGCTCTTCATTTTCTCATATGTAATCATGATTGTCCCATCACACCACACAGCTCCTACTGCATTTTCAAAGAACTTGGAGATGTCCTTCTTGGACTCTGCCACTCTGGTCAGGTTGTAGTAGCAGCGTATGTAGACTGCCTCCCTGCTAGCAGAGCATTTCTGTAAGCTGAAGTTGTACATCATATTTTGTAATTCAGTAGGGTGCTTCTTCACATATTCACCCCATACGCCATCACTGAATATTTCCTTGAGGAAATTGGTGAAGTTTTCATCCACTCTGTTGCCTCCCCATCCACCTCCACTTGCCTTATGTAGCTCCTTTAGGCAATGGTTTTCTTGGATCTCGTGTACTGTGATGTCTATGGTGCCACCTACACGTGCAAACACACACACAGAGACTCAAATTAATTGTGCTGTTTGCTTTAAAGTGCACAAGTTTCCACGGAATTCAGTCTTATCTTCTGAATTCCCAATTCACAGATGTGCTTTTCTCCTGCTTTCTTTCCTCATCCTCCCTCTTCTGCTATTGCCTGTACTTCTCTAGATTTCTTAAATTTCTGCACTTCTGTTTAAAAGCCTGGTCTCATGAGGCTCCTACAGTTATTTCTGATAAGAGCTGGATGCTCCAGCTTGCTCACTGAACAAGCCAATCTCCTGTCTGATCACAAAGCGAGCCTGGCCTCCTCACATAGGTGGTTGACTCCTGAGCAGTGGTGAGAAGACTCTCAGGAACTTGTGGTCCTCTTCATGCCTTTCTGTTGCAGTGTGATGCCATTTCCTGTTTCACCTATCCCAACCCCCCAGGTGTGCCAACCTCTCCTTTCCCCTCCCCCTTTGCCCTCCTGCTGAGAGCTGTCCATCAATCTTAACATTCCAGCAGGGTCGTGGTGTGGTTGGCAGAAGTTCAAAAGATGCCCCTCAGGTCCGGGCTCATTGGCCTGTCCAAGTGTCTTTGTCCCTTGAGCCTTCCCCTCCTCACACCTGGTTGGTGCCTCAGCTGTCCCTCCCCTCCCCCTGTCCCCGGGGCTTAAAAGGACACGAGACCATGCAGTTGGGATTCTGTTGGGAGCTGTTACAAGATTCAGAGGTCTGTCATCCTGGAATAAAACTCTGGATTAAAACTCCATGGCAGAATCCTCTCCTTTTTCTCTTCATCATCACCTGAACCTTTTCCACCAGAGGTGAACTGAGTTTCCACTTTGCCTGGATTTGTTCCGAGTGCCCAGCTGCAGCACCCAGCCGGCCAAAGGTATCTCTGAGGTGAAACACCACAGCTGCCACCTTTGGCCCAGCAGCAAGGGTCAGACAAGGCCAGGCACGTCCCACCAGGTAATATTGGGATTAATATTCCATACCTTTCTGTATTCATTCACAACCACCAAACTGCTCTTGGCAGAAAATTCACATCACTCCAAAAAACCTCAGGAATCTAGAGAAATTACTGCAAAGTGCTTCATCAAATATTCTTAATGATTTACTCTCCGGTGCCTGCTAGCTCTTCTCTTTGGTCGCTTCACTGGGCACTAACTACAGCTGCTTCTGGAGAGGAGGCTGTGAGCTCAGGCTACACAAGAGCCGGTGGCTGATGCTGGGACACTGTGCCAGCTGATCTGGTGTGAGGGCAGGGCCTCGTGTTGTGACTGTCTGGCCTGAAGAGCACTGCAGTGTGAGACACAACTCTGTTCTTCCCTCCTATTTTTCTGCCTGCTCACAGGATCTCATTAGGTGAGAAATAACATTTAAAAATCCATGACAAGCACAGCAGTGGAGTCCAAGCTCTGGGACCTTCACTATTGGGAAACAGGCATGCACCATGCTCAGCAAAGATGGTACCTGTTGAACAGGGAAAATTTTACCTCCACAGTCAACGACAATATACTGGATCCCAGGAGAGTCTTCAAACTTCTTCTTGTCACTGCTATCTGTCATAAACCCTTCCTGTGGAAGCTGCTTGCACCACAGCGATGCAGCTTCTGGCTCCAAGGCAATGATCAGGTTCCTAGAGAGCATGCCAGAGATAATTCCTGCCTAAAATCACAAAAGAGAGGAGTCAGGTCAAGGAAAAGGAGTGAGATTACTGCTGAGATTACCTCCTAGGGAGTCTGTTCTCACCCTAGCGGCTCATGCAAGGGTGGTGGTTCTTGCACTGCTGATCTCTGTGGGGCTCATTTCTACCTGGCGGTGGGGAGAGAGGGCAGAGCTGTTATACTGCCATTTGGGGACATCCTCTCCCTCACCACCCTCAATGTGGAAGATTTCTCTGCCCAATGGGCTGAAATTTGAAATACAGGTTGTTTACATATTGAGGAGTTCCTATGGTTCAATTGGGCAAAGAAACCTCCAAAGGTAATTTGAGGAAAGGGGGTAACCCCTGCTTTTACCTCTTTTGCTGCCAGGCGCATGAACTGCTTGGCAGCAGCGCTCCATATGGCCGGGACAGTAATGACCCAGGTGATCTCCTCCGGGTCATAGACAGTTTGGGAAGAGGCCTCCTTGATGGTGTTCAAAGCATGTTCCTTCATGAAGCGCAGGCTTTCGGAAAAGACTGTCAAGGCAGGAAGGAACTTTCCATTGGTGGCTTTCAGCTTCATGCCAGCTGTGACGTTCTACCAAAAAAAAGGCCCAGGGTCACATGGTGCAGTGTCAGTATGAGACCCTTCACACCAACACTGCACTACATGAGGCACCCAGACACCCCTGTCTCCAAACCAAACTCCCAGCACTGGCTTCACTACTGTGGCTGAGTCTAAGTGGCACAGGTCAGCTACCAAACTGCTCACCCACCACACCTGTGATTCAGAAGGCAACATGTCAATGTGGTTGATAATTCAGCTCTTTCTCCTAGGCCAAATTTTGTAAAGACCCTGTAGATCCTATAGATTCCTCAAGAGCCAGTGGGGAGTGATTCTGTAATGAAATTTTTCTTCACCATTTGCTCCTCAGATGCAGAGAAATATTTCTGAACTAAAACCTCTCTCCAGCCCCTGCTGAAAGTGAATGAGAACCAACCACTCCAGAGGTGACCTTGTGACAGACCATGTCATTCCCAGCTGTCCTGGGGAGGAAAATCTTCTAAGAGGCCTCCTATCCACCAAAGAGAGGACCTGAGGCTTTTGCTGGGACTGGCCTTGTGCTCTGGCTTATTCTATGCTTGAGAGGCCCTGTGGGACCCAGGAGCCCTAGAGTAGTCTGGTGTTTGGCTGAACAAGCAAACACAGATAAAGCTGTGAACTATTCTAAACCAACACAGAGCCTTCAGAGAGAAATTTGATAAAGCTACTGGAGGCTTCAAGGACAGCTGGACATCTTTATATTAGCCTCAGCATCACATTTCAAGGGAGGAAGAGACAAGCTAGGGGGAGCTGTATAACATGGGATGAGATTTTAGGCAATCCCAAAACTGCCCATCTCATTTGAATTACAGGAAATTTCACTTGATCCCTGTTTCTTGTTGAGGACTAAGGTAGGGAGTCCCAGAGGGAGACCAGTTTCTCTGTCAAGCTCGGAAACAGGGCAGCTTTTTATTAGGAACCGATATTTGCCTTCACCCATGTATACAGTCACGTTTTATTGTCTTTAGACAAAAAAACAACATAAAGGAAGCACCTGGGAAGCTTTTGGAATTAAAAAAAAAATTCTTCTTTTGTTCATCAAAATACTCTCTGACTTGCATTTATTCATTCTCATCAACCAGACTTACTCAGCCTAACCCCCACCCCTCAAACAAATGAATAGCTCCAATCCCCATTAGTAGCAGATCTTCCACCTACCGTGCTGTACAGCTGCATCTTGAAGTTCTGGAAGAAGTACCAGCGGTCAGCTTGGCTGGAGGGCAGGCTCTTGTACTTCATCACAGCATCATAACCAAAATATTCAAACTCCTGCTTCTGGTTGAACAAGATGCTCGTAGGTGTCTTTGGGGTCTTTAACCCGTGCTCTGCTCCCCAGTAAACCTGGCGGATTTGGTCTGTACCTGAAGCAAGACAAAAACAGTACCCGCTGTAGGATGTGCCAAAATCTATAGCAATGACAAAGACTGACTCGCTGGCCATGGCCACGATAGCGCAGAGGCGTGCAGCTCTGGGAGCAGAGAGGCATAAACAGGGACTGGACTGAAACGAAACTGAAACGGACTGATATTGCAGAGGGAGGGGCAATTTCCCCTGATTTTATTGGCTGGAGACAGATCTAACTCTAGACATCCTGTAAATTGTATGTTTTCCCGTAAACCAGGGGGAAAAAAAAAAAAAAAAAGCAGGGCTTTTTATAGCAGCAAAGTGCCTTTGTTGGGGAACTGTCTTATCAGGAGCTTTCTGCACTCCCAGCAGTATCAACAGTCCTCAGCGCTGCCCACACATTTCAACAAACATTTTTTGCTTCTGCATGAACAGACACAAGGTTTCTGGCTCCAGCAGAAGAAAAATGTGGGGTACTGGCAGTCTTTTTGGTGACAGAAAAGCAGAAGTGCCAGATACACCTGATATTTCTGGCTCCAGCAAAGGATATGTGTGGCATACACCCAGTGGTTCTGGCTCCAGCAGACAAGTGTGGTGGACATCCAACATTTCTGGCTCCAGAGGAATAGAATCATGGCATGTAAAAAAAGGAAAAGAGGTATTGGAAAGAAAGTGTGAGGATACTGATCCCATAAAGACAACTGCAGAAGGCAGCAGGTAGGTTATACAAGGGGGGTATCTCTGGATAATATTATTTAATTTTTCTAGGTCTGAGCATTTCTACAAAGTTTCTTGGAGAGTTGCATGAGGGTTGCTGAATTGCAAACATTTTCTGACTGTGAAATATTCAGTAAGAGCTCTGTTTTCTACTTCCTAACTTTTCTAGTCATCACAGAGATGGTTACTATCCCCAAATTCTGCTCAAGTTCAACTCAACAGTGGGAGGCAGATCTTAAATTGGTGCAAGAGGAAGAGAAACTAGAAATATCAGTATAAAGAGTGTGACAAGATCTGGGATTTCATGGCTCTGACTCTGAGCTCATCAATTTTGCAGGGAAAGGTGGACTAAAATGTAATTTTTTTACTGGATTGCTTAGCTTAAAGAAAAAGGTTGTGTCTTCAGTGAAAGACTGAAAGTGAAGTAATTTACCTGGAAAGGAATCAATCCAAGTAAACAAAACCAAAATGTGCTTCAGTGGGAAGGAGTAATGCTGAGAGGGGCAGCAGGTTTTTTGGCATAAACCAAAGGTAAAGCCTCATGCTAAGGCTTGCTCTGGCATCTGGTTGTGGGGATGAGCTTGCTCTCTGTTCTACCTGGATCCAGGCTGCAGGAGAATCTTAATCTGGGACTGTTTCTCTAATAATAGCTGATATTTGGGATCCTCGTGAGGAAACAGGACACAGCAGTTGTATAAATAAAAAATTACCTTGAGAACACAGAGCTTTGTACTCCTGTGTTTAAAAAAAACATACATTGCAAAGTTGGTTTTAGCAGAACAATCACCTGCATTTGCTGTTCTCCCACTCTCTGCAGGTCTGGGTTGAATTTGTTTCTCAGGAGCTGTCCTTGTATCTTGCTCACTTTATCCAGACCTAATGATTAGTCAAACCCTCCTGGTTTTGGCATACCTTGGTGTGGGAAATAGTTAAAGTAAGATTTCTAGAAAGCCTTAAAAGCAGGCCTTAGAAACAGGAAGAAGAGAAAACTTAGAGCTAGCTGCAGCTGCAAAGTCTGAAAGTAGAAAAAGTTACAATAAGACAGCAAGCAAGGACATGAAACAATAGCTTGAGTTTTAGGCTTGGCTAAGATAGACAGCCTGTGGAGTCCTCTGAGCTGTACCAGGCATTATCTGGGAGAGTGCTAACTCACTTGTGCCACACCTGCACCCGTGTGCCCTTTTCCTGGCTCTGATCCTTTTGCTGGCATGGACGTAGCCATGAAGCCGCTGCTTGCAATTATAAAGTACTTTTTTGAGGATGTGTTCTTACCCCACTTCATTATAAGAATTCCTTTTTCTTTTTTTTCCTCAGATATATATCTGACACCTCACGGCAGCCATCAGCCTATGGAGACCAGACTTCTAACATGAAGGAAATGTTTGAAATTATGAAAGAGATGTACAAGAACACAAAGGAAGTATTTGAAATGATGACAAAGATGGACAACAAAATAACGTGAGAGTCCAGTGATCAAAAATGACACTGTTTAGTGTGGCATCTGACAATGAACTGTAGCTGGTGCACACTAGGATGGGTGGGACAGAAAATGAGCCAGACACAGGGAGGGCTCTGCATTAGCAACAAATTTTGCCCAGGCTATACTGGGAACCCAGAGCCAATTTACAGAAGTTGTTGGATTTGCACCATGTAATGTGCAGGTCTTACACTTTGGGTATTTCATTTGAACTGTTGGTATTGACTCCAGAGTCACATACTGTGCACCTGGCAAAGAACAGCCTTGACAAGTTTTGGTCTCTAAATTTCTTTTCCCTATGGGCTGATCAGAAATTGGAGGGGAGAAGTTTAGCTTGTGCATTTTTTAAGACTTTATTGCATACTTGCCCACTGATTGCAATGTGGTTTATTGTTTCTTTCTTTCCCTTATGGATGGATGGACAACGAGAACAGAAATTTGTCTGACACTGTTGATACTCTATTTCACCTTCTGGACAGTCACGTCAGGTAATGGTGATTCTCTACATTAATAATCAGTGTAAGAGGGGAAAATCATTATGATCCTCACAACCACACCTCTATTTCTTCTGATGTAAACAGCTTCCCACTTGATTTGAGCATAAATTCTGGGTGGGAGCTTTTAGGGGAGGTGTTCAGCTCCCCTGGAGTTTTCCTGGATGCTCTTGCACTTTCCCACCTCAGAGCTTTTTTCCTTGAACTCAGATTATTCAACAGGGGCATGTCCACTGTTGTGCCAGTGTCCAAGTACAAATAAAGAGATTTCCCAAATCTGTTTCAGAGAACTTCCTGAAAAGGTAATTAAAATACTGCATAAGGAGAATGAAGAAAATGAGAAGCTGAAAGAGAAGAACAAAAAGCTAGAGGAAAGGTAAGGCATTTATTCATATTTCAGACATAGTGTGTGTTTCTACACTGAAAAGCCACATGCTTCTTGCTTCCTCCAGTCCTTGGGGACTCTATTTCTGACCAGACATCCATGACACCTTCTTTCCAGACTTTCAACCTGCCAGCATCTCTTTGTAACTGACTCTGGAAGATGGTTTGGGTTGTTCTGCAAAGGGAAGAAGACATTCTGCAAAGGGAGGAAGACAGTTGGGGTAGCCAGTTAAATATAAAGAGTGAAAGAAACCAGTCTACAATGACATAGTCAAGATGCCACTCTGATCAGATGCTACAATGATCATGCAAAACTAAGCTGAGAAAGCACTATTTTCCACAAAAAACTGCTTGCCAGCTATATAATATAAATGAGAAGTGCATCATAGAAAACATGGGATTCATTAAACAGTTTCATAAGTAAAATATTTACATTTGCTCATTATTTCATCTTGACTTAGATATGTTTTTAATATCCCCCTTGACCTAGAATCCAAAAGCTGTTGGCTAAAGTGATGGCCATGCACCAGCACTCTGAGGACATCAATGACCCCTCACGTTTGTCTGCTGTGCTGGAGAGATACGAGATTCTCCGGCTGCAGGAATGGGAGAAAGTCAGGTGCTCCATGCTCCACCGCTGGACCTATGAAGAAGGCAGTGACGCCATCAAGGTTTGTTCAAGTCCATTTTCTCCATCTGATCCTTATCACATCAATTATGGTGTAGCCATATAGCAGCCTTTGAGTATTTGTATTTCTGTACCAGACAGGGTTTGGGCTAAGTTTGGGTCTCTGATTTTCCAGCCCAGCAGGGCCTGTGGAATGCTGTGGAGATCAAAATGACAGTGACCTTCTTCCTCCTGCCTTTCAGAAGGGCACACTCAAATACTAGTCCCATCTCTCACAGGTGTTAAGCACAAGTGGGAAAACAATCCACTTTCCTTATGTTAGTGCTTGAACTGATAGCTGGGAGACCTCATTTTGATGTCTGACTCACTGCTGTGATGCTGCTGGAGACATCTAAAGGAAAATACCACCAAAGTGGTATTACCTGAAAGGACAAGACTGAGATGAGGCCATTATTAGCATTGACTGTGATGATAAGGCCCCACAGATGCTGAAGAATGGGCTCCAATATGCAAGCAGCTTGATGAAACAGTTTGTTTCACAGCTATTGAAGACATGTTTCAATCAATTAGCAGCCCTACAATTTACTCTAATCCAGTTGTTTTCTTAGCTTTGCACACCACACCTGTGGTTTCACTGTGATTGATGCTGTAATCAGTTGTTTTTGCACTGCAGAAGGTGTTTGATGCCTGTGAAAAAGATATACAGCAGAGAAGAGAGGACATACTTAAAGTTCTTTACGTTCCACCTTCGAATAAGGTAAAAATATCTTTGACCAAGGTATCTTATGTTTCTGTAAAAGGCCTGTAAAAAGGCCTTTTATGGCCTGTAAAAGGGCCATTGGCACCTGCCATTTCATTTAGAACTTTGTATCTGCTAAGGACGCCTCTCAAAATATGTCAGCAATGACACTGGAGATACCTTCTGAGCTGAGAGGTCTGGGGCCAAGCTCTAGCAATCCTAGGTATGAGAGCAGCACTGGATAAAAACCAGGTCTTTCTCTCTAAGAGTTAAGCTATTCCATGGAGAAGCAGGGAGCTGGAGTTGAGGATCCTTGTGGGAGCCTTCCAAAATTAAATTATTCTCTGTCCCATGACACACAGGCATACACTGCATATCTGAATTGTCCAGCTGGATGAAGCACATATATGAGTGCAGAAAGCATTTTCCAGCCCTGCGTTGCTTTTATGGGACCCTCCTCCAAAGCCTGAAATGAGTGACTTCCCCATTACTGACTGACCCAATATGAGAAACAAAAGTTCCCAGCGTTTGCCTTACCACATGGTAACAGCCTGCTTTGTGCTATGATTGTTCTGTAGGTGATGATGCACGACATAATGAAGCTGTTAAGGCAACACTATCACCAAAACTGGAGGGTTTACAACCAGATTGTTCAAGTGAGTAAAGATACAGCCCAGGAACCGGGGCAATGGTCCAATTGTCTGTGCAGCTTGTTATTTAAAACATGAGAGGTCTCCCTTCTGAATGAGGTTGTTTTCCACTTGAGACCAGGTTGTTCCAGTCCATATACTCCCAAAATATTCTCCAGTACACATAACCTTGTAAGGGGAGTACAGCAGGATGGGCAGGGTCGTGCCCCTACCAACAAAGGCACAGCCCTACTGGACCCTAGCAAGGAGCAAAGAGCAAAGGGCCAGTGGTGGTGACCAGGGTCAGCCACAAACCAGTGACCATTGGGCAAGCTCAGCCAGGTCAAGACCAAGCTGTGAAGTTGGTCTCTGGGTCAGGACCAGCAAGACTGGGCACAGGCATCCCAACACCACAGCTCAGTCAAGCACCCAGCCACCACTCAGCTCCTGGGTCAATTGGTGGCCAGTTTGTGGGTGAAGATGAGGCTTCTCATAACTCCTTCTCACACCACCTTTCTGCCAGCTTGGCTGTTACTGCAGGAGTTGCATACAATTTCATATGGTCATGCTAAATCTGAGCTGATCTTGAACACAAGCAGCCAAACCCCTGCTTGTGAAGGGGAAGGCAGAGGAAAGTGTGCAGAGGCTGTTGATGAGCACAGAGCCCTGACACCTGCTATCCACATGGACAGGTCTCTAGTGGGCTTTTTTTTTGTGGAAGATATGACATATATATCACAGATATATGAAACTTCCAAAGAGGAGCTTCTTCCTTTTGCAGCTTTCTGGGTTTTTCCAAGAGCTTGGTCTTACCAAACTCCTTGCAGATCTCTCTATGAGGAAATAGAGACAGGGGCTGGACAGTGGCACAATCCAGAAGTCAGGACTTGGTAAATAAAAGAACTTTTAAAGTGGCCCTGGGACCCCTGCATGTCCCACTCAAGCAGCACCAGCAGCTTTGACCAGTGAAGTTTTTGAGTGCTTAGTTCCTGTGGAGCAGCTGCACAGAATGCGAGCGGGGAGGCAATGTAACAATACATCGACATAATATTACAAAGCTTTGAAAACTGTTCTTATTTGATTTTCAGGAAGCTGACATTCACGAAAGAACTGAAAATGAAAAACAGTTCCTGCTGCAGTGCTGCCAAATTTATTGTTTGCTGCTTCTTCAGGATCCACCAGTTAAAGCTGAGTGGAGCATAAACAGCAGGCATGTAGAGCATGTGGACAAGAAAGATGTAGTGTACTGGCAAAATGCATCATTTCTGTGGCCCATAATGAAATGTGGGGAAGAAATTATTGTGAAAGGTGTAGTCTGGGACCAAAGGAAAATGACTTGAGAGTCAGGCTAATTACTTACTTAGCCATAAGATGAAACAGCTGCTATATAGTACTCTGCTTTTCTTTCTCCCATGAATTGCCTACTTTTCAGAGCTAGTAAGTTAGACATCCCCCACTTGGGACACCTAGGATAAATCATCATTACAAACCTGTATTAAAAATTGAAGCTATTCCAATTGTCTCCTCACAAAGACCACCTGTCTGTTAGCACTCCTCTGCTTCCTCACATCTTTACAATTTACCTCTCCCAAAGTCCTTCAGCTACACATGTGCCACAGCTCTGGACCGAAGAATTCCAGAAGTTGTATTCTGTGGCATAATGGGCATGCAATGAGGCAAATGCATGTTCATGCGATTTGGTGTGATACAGTATTCTGTGAGCAACTTGAGAATTACCAAATAAAAAAGACTTTAAATTCTGCTGTGTGCCTGCTGTTGGAATGCATGGAATAGAAGCTTCTCTGAGTCCCTCAGAGAGAGAAAGGAATATAGGAATTGAATTGGAACCTTTAGAGAAACTAAAATATATTAAACCACACAGACATGAAGTAGGAGTGTAAGTTTTAATTTTAAGTAAGGAGAAATATATCTTAAGTGCCTTAAGAAACTATATTAGCTAGTAAAAAACCCTAAAGCCTAGTTTAAAGTTCAGTAGTGTTATCTTTCACAAAACTAACTTAGCTCCAGACATAACAAAACCATAGCAGAACATTGCTTACATTCCTAAATAGAACAGATAGAACTGTTTGTGTGAACAGATAGAACTGTATGTGTAGATTTTGTGTAAAAACTAACACTACTTTCACACATTAGAATTAAGCTTGGATAGGTGTAGAAAGAATGTTTTAGAATTGTGTTTTTAGCTGATGAGATTATTTATGAATAAATTTCCCCTATATTGGGATACAAAAAAGGTGCTAATTGCTTCTACTAACTACTGCTACTTCTGCTGCTTCTACTCAAACCATCAAGACTCCATACCAGAAAGCTTTTAGCACAAACTTTAATACTGTAAACTCTTCACCTTCAGTACTGATGTATTCATACAATAAACAACTTTACAACAACGAACAACTACTCCTGTCTCTTTGAAGACCCAATACCCACTCAAGACTGAACACCTGCCAAGTCCTTTTCTCCAGTTTTCCTTTCTAATCCATCAGTTTCCTTGGCTGCACAAACTCCCTGGGATTTTCTCAATGGGCCCCCAGAAAGAAAGGCAAATTTCTGTGCAGCTCTCTGCAAGCAAATTGCTCTGCATCTCTCAGGAATTCAGTATTCCCTAAGCATATTGCAGGTCACTGACAACATAAGCTGGGATACAGGTGTGTTCCTTTATTGGAAATATCTATTATGGAATAGAACAGGTGAAGTAAAATTACATATGTAACATATTTCCTACAATTTTCACAAAAAGAAAGAACTATCATTGTTGGTTTTTCATGCTTTTTAAAATGTTGCAGACTCAGATGAACACTGCAATAATATTTCACTTTTCCAGGCCGTAGAAGGTAAATGAGAGGTAAGTTGTCCAGTACAGGCACTTGACGTGACGTGAAGTAGAAGTTTCAGCATGACCCTGAGCCAAATGCCATGTGATTATGCAGGTATAATACTACACATATGGCAAGCTGCCGTGCTCTCTTTGTTACCTGCTTAGAAAATTTTAACCTATTTTTTTGGTAGCTCCCTGAGTCTGTCTGGATCCTATGCTGTGCATCAGTTTTATCTCTGAAGCTCATCACTTCTGCATCTCCTCAGGTGTGTCCTCTCCTTTGATTTTTCTCTCCTTAATATCATTTTTGCTAGGCAAAAATACTCATCTTTCAAGGCCTTATATTTCAAAGACTGATTTAAAAGTCTTCAGAAGGCTAAAAGGCCTAGGGTTCAGTAGTCCTGAAAAAGAGAACGAACTGCTAAAATCAGAGGATTTTTAACCTCTCACTACAAACCGGGTACTTCCGCCACTGTCGCCACATTTCTCTTCACAGACAAAAGCAAGGCACAATTCTTCCCAAGGATATTCTGGGATTCACATTTCCTGAACCTCAGAGAAAGGGAAGACAATTCTTATCTCATTTGCTGTGCCTGTGTTTGTGCCAAAGTAGAATGCAATATGGAGATTGTTCACCCAGAGTGATGGGGTTTTGTTTCCTTGGCCTATCGGGGCCAAGCGTGTGTGTGTGTCAGTCACGAGATGCTGTGCAGTTGAGTGCTTGGCAGATTCAGTTTAGATGTAATGTAATATAGTATAGAATAATATAGTATAACAAAGTAATTATTTAGCTTTCTGATATCCATGGAGTCCTGCTCATCATTCCTTCCTTCGTTGGGGGTGCCCTGCTTTTCCAATAATATTTTACACGAAATTGGTGCAAGATGGTCTCCTCTGGTCTGACTTCCATGCTGTGGGGATTCCAGAAGATTCAGGATAGGGAATCTGCCTCTGGAAAACAAGGGCAGGCCTGAAAGTTTTCCAGCACACTGGGACAAGGAGCCCTTTGTAGAGATCCCTACACTCAGGGAGATCTCTTTGTTGCTGCTTACACAATTATCCCTCTCCCAGCCACAAGGAAGGAAGCAGGGGCCCAGGCCCTTCCTGGAACAAATACTCGACTTCCTATACACAGCTCAGAGAGGAAACCATGAAAAAACTGAGCTACAGCTTGTGTCTGACAGAAAGAGCAAAACAGTCAGAAAAAGGAAGAGAGAGGACAATCTTGATGTTTAAACCCTTCCTTTCTTGCAACACCATGACTCATGCCCCCCAATCAGCCTCCCACAGAGACAACATGGGAAGGTGGAAGCCTGCAGAGGGAAGGGAGCTTCAACCTTCACCTGTAGGAATGTCTGAGCAGGCCTGGAATTCTTCACCTGGACAAAAGAGGACTTCAGGGATCACAGGTGGAAGAGAGGGTGGGTGGCAGCTACACACACCCTCTTCAGCTTCAGTTGCAAGAACTAGGCTGATGGAAGTAAAACAAACAGGAGGATGCAGAAGAAGCAGAGACTGGAAGTACTGCCTGAAGGAATCGTGGCTGCACAAAGAGCACTAAAGTTGGTGGCGTGTCTGGAAGCCACCTCCACAGGAGTCCTTGCAGGCTGGAAACAGGATACTGGCTAGGTGGCCCTCTAGTCTGGAACCACTTGGGCTGCTCTTAAAGTCAAATGAATTTGCTTAAACAAACATTGCCTGTTGGTTTTGCAACAGCAAAACAAATATCACACATTACCCACCCCATTGCCTCAGTTTGATCAAGTACCTCAACAGCTGCAGAAAGGTAGCACAAAAAGGGCTGTATTTTGTGTATTCCTTTGTAGCACTGCAGCCGTGTGCCACCCTGGAGCTGGATCAAGCACCAGTGCACAACCAAGCAGGGACCTGGCATCACCGCTGGTATGGCTTCAGGCTCACAAAGGCCTCCTGAGAGGAAATCAGTGCTGTGGGGGCCTGAGCCTGTGTGGCTGTGAGCAGCTGAATCAGCTGCGTACATCTCCTCTGTGATGGTCCCCAGCCCTCCCTGGCAGCTCCCGCACTGTTGGAGTCCAGGAGCTTCCCCCTGGATCTCATGGAATGTGTTTGGGCCGCAAGTTCCACAGCAACACGATGGGTGCAGCAGCACGCACGGCAAAGCCCCAGGGCTACTGCAGCTCAGGATTCCGTGCTGGGTAAAGGGCAGAACGGGAACAGCGAGCAGGAGAAGGGGTCACAAGTGAACCTCGTGACAGAGCTGCGGGCGGGAGCAAAGCTGCGTTTTGGAGCATCTGTGGCTGTGACGTGCTGCAAAAGGGCGTTTTGAGGGAGGACCAGCAGCACTGGGGCCCAGAGACCCAGAGCCGCAGTCGCGCAGGTTATGACAGGGCAGGACCCCGGGAGCTCACCGCTGCCCGAGCTGCACAAGGCACCCTTTCCCTTTCACTCTTAGCTTGATTTTAAACGGTGTAATTGCTCCCTCAGAAGGACAGAAAAGGAATTGCTTCCTGCAGACACATGAAGTATTTATTAGGCTGGGTTGGTGGTTTATTGTATTAAGCCTCGTGGAGACCCTTAAGGCACCTCAGCGAACAGAGCGACAAAGGAACAGCACAGGTTAACGCATTTCTGTTCTTCAGGCCGGTTGGAATGTCTGAGTGCGACGCGCCCTCGTGAGGCGCTGGCGCTGTCCCGCCACCCGAGCTCCCGAGTCACCCCGGTCGCGGCAGTTCTATCCTTGGCACGAGCGCCACGGAGGTCGGGCAGATCACGGCACCCGGGCATCCCGCGAAGTAAGCGGGGCACCCAGGGGCGACCTGTACCCGCGCAAAAATTCCTCTCACATTCGGAGTGAGGACCCGGGCGTCACCCCGGGTCGTTATTTTCCTTACTCATAAGTTTAAGGCATGACCAAAGTCTCGCCGCGCCGCTGGGACAGTGCTCCGCACTAACTCCACAGGTCAGGGCGAGCGCCGCCCGACGTGGCTTCTGGGTGGCCTACAGTGCCCTCAACACTGCGCTCGGTTCTTGTCCCCTTGCGCGCCGCGGAACCACTGCCGCGGGCCGAACCGAGCCGCGACGTGCCGCGCCGTATGCAAATGAGAGACCCGGCGGCCGCGGGGAGTTGTGGGGCGCCCCGGCGCAGCGGGCGGAGCCCGGCAGTGCCCGCCGTACTTCTGAGGGCGGGGCGAGGAGCGGAAGTCGTGCGGTGTCATTTCCGGGACTCGCTCGCTGCGTCTCATCGTTGGGGCCACGACAAGATGGCGGACCTGTCTCTGGACGAGCTCATACGGAAACGCGGTGTGACGGTGAAGGGGAGGTGAGAGGTTGGCACGGCGACGCAGCGCCTCGGGCCGGCGGCCCCCGGCCGCTCTTCGAGTGTCCTTTCGGGTGGCTCCGCTCCGGGAGCTACGGGCCGCAGCTGTCTCGGCGCGGCCCGGCCCTGCTCCCGCCCTCGCATTCCCATTGGCTGAGCTGCGGGCCTGCGGGACCGCTCTGCCATGCGATTGGCGGCGGCGGCCGTCACTCAGGGCCGAGGCGGGGGTCGGGCCCCCATCTCGGCCCCTGTGCCTGGCGCTGCCCCGGTGGGGCAGGAGCGCTCAGCGGCCCATCCCCTCTCCGTCTTTTTGGGACTCCTGGCGCCGTCCCTTGTCTCACTGAACCTTCCGACTTGCCTTTTGCTTGTCCCCGTCGATTAACCCAGCGCTGCTCCCTGTAATGGGGTGGGCGCCCCGAACCCCGCCGGTAGTCGGGCCGCAGGTGTTATCGAGGCGGTGCCCGCGGTGCCCGGTGCCCTCGCGCTCCCGGGCGCGGCTCGGTGCTTTGTGGGAGAGCCGTGGGAGGGCTGCTGGTGATTGGGGAGCCGTAACCGACCGGAGCCGCCGGGCACCCGCGCGGGCGGGGCTGCTGGGCTCGGGCCGCAGCGCTGCCCGGCTCTCGGAAGGTGCCGTCCCTCCAGCGTAGTTAGTGGGGCTCCGACCGATTGCTTGCAGTGGCTGAGAGGACGTGGAGCATGTTGCAGATCGGAGCTGCAAGGTCAGGTTATTTCTTTGCATGGAAGATGTCTCCAGTGTAGGCTGGGCCATTTACTTCCACAGTTGGCAGTTCTTACTTGGGTTCTCCTTCGGTAGCTTTTCATTTTCCCTTTTGCCATAGTCTCTTAATGCTTCTGAAGAACTTGTCCCCCATCTCTGTTAGCTCAGTGTGCTCTTGTTGTGTTGGTTGGTTGTTCCCTTCTGTTTTTTGGGTTTTTTTTAATTTATTAGTCTTCGTTTTTGACTCTGAATGTGTATACATTTACATGTCTAGAGTAATATTCTGAAAGTTATCTGCTAACATATACTACCAAAACATTCAAACATATTTAAATCCTAGTCTAGACAAAGCCTTGGCTTTGCACTTTCATTCATGTTACCCTGCATATTTGGAAGAATCTTAGTCTGCTGACTATGCCCCAAGTACCTCCTTTATCCCTTTTCAAATCCCTCCTTAACTCTCATTTCTTTCAGGAATTTTTCCTGCCTTTTATTTTTTTTTTTTTTGCTGAGCAATAATCCCTCTGCAGCACTGTAAGAATTGTTGTGCCCCACACTCTTCTTGTATGTTGTGTTGAGCTCACTTTATAAATTCCTGAGGTAGCAAACTTGGCTTTGTGAAGTCTGGATAAACTGAATAAAGTTAAATCATTACATCCATGCTATTCAGTAGTCTAGATGAAATAAAAGAAAAAAATTCACTAATAAAATGTGCTGGTCCGTAACATATTCAAGCCAGAGCTTGGTATCCTGGAAAGTGAATTAGATTTTTGAGATCCGCTTTTATTTCAGGTGCTGTGGCACAAATAGCTAAGCAGTTAATGCTCTTGTAGGGTAAGCAGTTACCTGTGAAAGAGAGTTGCTTATTAGGGTAAAGACACCAGAAATGGTGTAATCTTCAGTTTCTTAACCTATTTCATTGGGTTTTGTTATCAACAGTCTTAACTAATTCTAGTTTAAATGTTGACACATACATTTCTGGTTTTACTCTGGCCTCTCTCATGAACCACTCATCCAGCCCTTTGCAGCACTCCAGCTGAATGCTTCCAACATGGCTAAATAAACGTTTTTTAAAATTGCAAGGAAAGTCTTGCTCTGTCTCTGTTGCTTTATGGTATTGTTAGGTTCTTGTGTTCTGGGTTTATTTTCATAGATGGTCTTAATAATCCTCCTGTTTCTTCTAGCTGTTTTGCTTTGGCTGTAGGAGAGAGCAGCTATAGGACTCTTAGGTAATAAAATGGGATTCCAGTCCCAGCTTTCCAGACATTTAGACACAAGAATGAAAGAGGCAGAAGCAGAGGTTAAGTCTTTCATCTCTCAGTTGGTTGGGGTTTTTTTAAAGATCTCTCCATTGAAAATACATGGCTGTAAATAATGTGAAGGTTGTGGAGTTAGATCAGGAAATACTAATATAAGGGTGCATGAAGAATTGAAATAGCATCATAATTTGGTTTTGTGATACTAACGTTTTGATTATGACAACAAATTCCAGGTATCTACTTTTAAACTTTGTAATTCTGGACAACACATTTTTGGAAGCAGATTAACTTTGTAGCCCTATATTTTGACTTTTAAAAAGTCAACAGCAAGAATATTTTTTCTCTCTCTTTCTACTTTGTCTCTTTTTTTTTTAATATGAAGAAACCCAGTGAAAAAGAAAAAACTTTAAAAATACTCATCAGAGGAACTCCATTAAGAAATTAGATAAAATTTTTTTGTTCTTTTGGCAGGTTTTGAAAAAATATATCAGACCTGTAACAAGAAGGTAGTTCTAGCTTTCACCCTGTATTGTGCTGCTTTTTAGGAATACTTGTCTACAAGTACAAATGCTGTCATTTTTGCGGGCTGTTGTCTTTCTGTGCTCAGTATTGTAATAATGATATGCTTAAAAAGTAAAGGCCATAAGTGCAGTAGTTCTTTTATTAGATTAAAGAAGAGGCAGTCATGTTAAAAAGTAATTTGACTAACGACTATTCTTGCTGGAAGCTAATCAACCTTGAAACTGGTGGCTTTGAACTAAGATTGTTACTGGTGCTTGTACATACTAAAATTTGAGTTGCTGTGCTCCCACAAACCTGAACTTGCTGCCCAGAATTCTTGAATTCATGTGTAGTTGCATGTTTCCTTCATATCAGGATGTATTAGTGAATTACGGAAGATGCTTTAGCAGACCTGTTCACTCCTAAAGCTGGAAAGTCTGTTCCTGTTCCTCTTTGTCTTCAAAGGTTGCCCCAAAGTACCTGAGTTGTTGAATTTTGTGTAAATGTAGTATGTACTTAGCACAGCTGAAGTCAGACCCTTTAGTTTGTAAATGTGAGCTGAAGGGTGGATTTTGGAAATAAGTTCCTTAGCTGATTATGTAGGAAAAAAAAATCCAGCATAAAAGAGCTTAGGAGTTCTACTGTTGTATTTGGATGTCCAACTGGAGTGGATTTTTGTGCAGTAATAATGAACTTTTGTTTGCAGCAACACAAATACTTTCATTGACACTGTATTGACACATAATGCCTGAAACTTTCTTTTTTTTTCTTTTTTTTCCCCCCTCAGACTTAACACAAGGCCAGTGTTTGGAGGTGTAAGATCTCGCATTGGGATCCAGCAAAATCTTCTGAATAGACCATCACCAGCTGTGAGCTTCCAGCAGACTTTTGATGCCCGACAGAAGATAGGACTCACTGATGCCAGGCACAAACTGGGGGTGAAAGATGCCCGAGAAAAACTGGTTCAAAAGGACGCTCGCTTCAAAATCAAAGGGAAGGTTCAGGATGCTCGGGAGATGTTGAATTCCCGTAAGCAGCAAAGTGTTGCTGCTGAAAAGGTGACCAAAGTGGTGGATGCCAGAGAGAAGATCAGCTTAAAAAGGAGCACTCCAGCTGCTATCAGCCCAGCTATGGGGACAGTAAATCCAGCCGTGAAAATCACCAAAACTATTCAAGTAGGTGAATGAGTCACCTCTGAGCCCCTCAGTTACTCTACAGCAGTGCAGTAGACATGATACTACTTCAGTATGTTCATATGGTTACAATAGAAGCAAGGATGATACAGTTCATTCCAGCCCATGGGGTGGGATTCTGATCCTTTTGTGTGTCCTTGCAGCTGCTTGGGACTTTTTGTAGAATCACACCTCTCATTTAAATTTTCGTTTTAATTTTGGGCCCAAAAAGACTAAGGGAGAGCTCCTGTCAGCATTAAAAGAGATGTCTTGAATGGTTAAGTAGTCTCTTTCCTGCCTGAATGCAAACAAAATGATGCAGATTTTTTGTCATTCTTATACTGCCCTTCTTTGCAAGTCTGATGTTGTGGATTGTCCTGTATAGATAACTGGTTTATCCTAGGGGTGGAATAGCAGTTTAGAATATGCAGCTGTGTTTGTAGCTAAGAAAATTTAAAATTCAATGAGCCGTTCTACAATTTTCTCTTTTTATACTTGTCTGGTTTCCAGGGATTTGCCTGATCACATGAAGCATTCCTGCTGAGGTTCAAGATTTATTTCAATTGTATTATAATCAGTTGATCACCCTGACCTGCTGATTTCCTGGGCCAGTTTTCTGATTTCACTTTGCTGTATGCGTGGCAACTTGATTCTTAGCCAGCTTCTCTGAGAAACTACTGCTCTTGAGCTGTGTCTGTTAGATACAATGTGTAGAGTCAGAAGAGAAATTTCCAGACTGTTGGGATTGTTGTTTGAGTGGTTTTGCTCCTTACCTCTACAAGCATGTAACTGAAGTTCCTAGTCTACCTCTTTCATTTTCAGTCTCCCAAAAATCAGCAGTGTGCTCACTCATACCCAGGAATCTATTGTCACCACTTTGAAAGCCTAGATGAGTCTGCTTTCTGTTCAGCTGTGGGTTTTGCTGAAGAGGAACGTCAAACATGTTTCTTCTGCAAATGGGCCTAGGAATTTTCCCACTAGTCTGCAGGTTTCCTGCCAGGCTGATGTAAGAAGGAGAAAGGGCTCTTGAGACAGTAAGAAGGGCTAATGGCAGAGCAATAGAGCAGTCTGTTCAGCATTTGTTAATTAGGAGGGTGATCAGTACTCTTGCTGTTCTTCTGAGCCAAATCACCAGCATCAGCCATGAGGAACTGAACATCTTCTACAAAGTTTCTAGGAGTTAAAGTAGTTTCTACTACTTTAACTTGGTGCAGTAGCTGTTTGTTCTGACCTGGTGTTTTGTGGGGTTTTGTTTGACTTGTTTTGACCAATAGTATTTTCTGTTTGCTAGACAACATAGTGCAAGGGAACATATATATTTGTACATAGGGTATCATGGTGATTCAGAGTGTAGACAGAACCTTGCACATAAGCAATTATCTAAAAGTTTTTTTAAATATTTGTACTGAAATTCCAAATTGCCCCTGATCCTCCTATCTTCCCAAACGTGGGAATGGAATCAAACTAGTGTGTCTTGATTGAAGGTACAGCACACAGCTCTAAATGTGCTGTCCTGAGGTCTTGTTTATCATGAAGCAAGGAAAAATCTTTGAAACCAAAAAATTACAGTAGGTCTGCTGGTGTTTCTGTAGGATGGGTATCCTTGTTTCTTTGATTAGCAGATTGAAACATGAGGTGCTATACTATAAGTTGCACTCTAGAGAAAATGCTAATCTGAAGATTTTATTACCTGTGTGGACTATTTTTTCCCTGTTTCATGGTCTAATGGGCTGCACACTACCCTGTGCAGCATTTTATTCCACTACAGCTTATTCCAGCTTTAGTGCTAAGGGACAGTGAATACTTCTCCTTTTGCTTGATGGAGATATGCATGTTTAGTTACCTGTAGCATGAAAGAAGACACAATTCCTTTCTGACTTAGCCCATTCATGGTTTTGTATTGGCAGAAATGTAGATCTAATAGTCCTGATAGGACTGAAGTTAACTTCCCTTCCCAGCAATCTTGGACTAAACCCTAACTAATTTGAATCCATTTCTTCATGTGGTCTTAGATTTTAATTTAAGTGAAGCCATCTCATATTGAACATATCACAGGAAATACAGGTGTTACCCAGGAGCATGTTGTGGTAATATATTTCAAAGCAGGGAAGGTAAGTTTTATATAAGTGATCTCAGGGTATTCAGCTAAAGCTTTGATCTTCTGAACCTGATGGACTGTAATGCTTAATGCTTTGGTTCTTTATCTCTAACTGTAGCAGAAGGCTCCAGTTCCTGGACACTCTCATCCAGCAGGAATGAGGATCAATGTGGTGAACAACCATACACATAAACAGGTGTGTACCTGCTCTGTACTCTTTGTTACCTTTAACAGGGAAGAAAATCTGTCCATAAGCATTGGCAGGTGCAAAGAAAACTCCTAAGTAGGAGAGACGAACATTTGAAAGTTCTCCATCAGCTTAGCTTCCGTGTCTTGTGTGGCTAGAATAGTTTCATGGTAATTGAGGTTTTCATTTAGTATCATTTCTCTTGATTCCTAGTGTATTATCTGAATGAGATACAGGAATGAGAAGTAGATATTCCCAGTTTTATCTCTATGCTAATGGTATATTTTTTCCCTAGAGGCTGACCTCTAGCTCCGATATTTTTGTATAAATTTCTTATGACATCACATCAAGTTGTTGGCTGTTTTGATTCACCATGCTGCCAACCTCTTCAGAGAGAGGATGTGACTGTACATGGTCAGATGTGCTGCAGTGAGGTGGGAAGGGCCACTGCTGGAATCCTGATAGGGAGTGATGTTACCTAGTATTCTGATGTACTTCCAGAGTTCCCATAGCCCTTATCAAGCAGATTTTGAGAAAGACCTTAGGGTATTGTCTTTCTGGGATCAGTTTTAATGGATTTTGTCAGAGCCCCCAGCCATTCAGCCACCCTACTACCTTGGGTGTTTTCAGAGAGGAACTGGATATTTTTATTACTTATGTTATTGTGTGTGTATACACAAAGTATTGCATGAAATACTGGAAAACTGACGTTCACGATATCATGTCAGGTGACTTTTTTGCCATGATTATCATAATTTTAGGTATTTGTGTATGTTACCTTTATGCTGGCCTGCTACCATCACCTATCCCAGATGCTGTTGTTTAAGGAAGTGTCTTCGTTATTCTGACCTTATCACTGTAAACGTGAAATCCTTTCATTTTGTCTCAAGCTCAAGTCCATTGTCCTGCTCCCTAGTGTTTTTTCCAGCTCTTTTATTTTCTGCACAATTCTCCTCTGTTCTCTGGCCATTTTCAGGTTTTTTTCCTTCATAGCATTTCTGTCACTGGAACAACTTCCTTGTTTGTAAACCAGAATCTTGCTGACTAAGGACAACCCCACTGATTTTGCAAGCTCTCATTGCTAATCCCTCCAGTTTTCTTTACCTTTTTAGTGAATTAATGGGAAGCTGTTTGCAGTTGTGATTTCTTATGTTTTGGGCACTGCTATTTGTGTCTAGACTTTTTCTTAACGTTATTTAGAGTCAACGAAAAAAATGCTTGTGTAGGAGCTCACCTCAGTATTTTATGGCAAGGCTATGAGTGTTAAGCTGAACTGGAAAATGAATTATTCATTCAGTAAAGCTCTTAGTGCAGTGTTTTCTAGGGCCAGATGGATATGTCCTGTGGTAAGGAAAGCAGGCTATACAAAAGGAATGTTCTGTTTAGATGTATTCAGCAGGCACTTGTTTAGTTGAAAAAAAAACCAATGAAAAACCCCAAACAAACAAAAAGAAACTCCACCTCACACCCCAAAATAATTTAAAAATCACATGCACGGGTGTCAACTGTAAAGGTAGGAGGGTGCTAAAATATAAGACACTGAGGCTCTATTCCAATAATGTAGCTTCAACAGTCCTAATGAGGTCCAGGAGAAGAGGGATCTGTATGTGATTTCAGTATATCTTGGGAAACAGTTTTACTGTGATGTTTTTGGAAAGAAAGTCCCATAGTTTTCATGCTGATGTTTTGACATGGACTTGTATACCTGAAACTAAAATGCAGTGTAAATGTTTATTAGCTGAAGATGGTTGAAGGCAGGAGAGCTCCCTATTTTTGAAATGTCTCGATGTCTGAAGTCTGCCTGCATGTAAACTATTGCCTTCTTCACTTCAGGGTCTGTATGACACAGAAGATGATGAGGAAAGTGTCTCTCCCCTTCCTAGCAAACAGATGAAAATCACCACCACAAACAGTTTCCTGCACAACTCGGTAAGGGGTCATCTGGGCATCTCCACCATGCCATGCTCACATTGCATGGACACAGAGGCTGTGTCTTTACAGGACTTACCTATCAGACAGTTCTTTTAAAGTCTGTAAATGAAGTTTTCTCCTCAAATATTTGGTCTTCACCCCACTCTTCCTTTGTGCCAATGCTTCTACTGTTATTTTTGGAACAGAGTTCTTTTAGGGTAACTGGTTTTATGGGCTCTCAGCAGCTAGAATGTGTGCTTTCTGCCCTGCTGGCAGGTTGTTGTATCCTGGCTCTTTCTTGTTGAAGTGCATCAAACCGGTTCTGTTACTGTTTGAGTAAACCAGCAAAGGAAGCTTTCTGCTGCTGGAGACTGGGCATCAAAGCAGGAAATCTCTTGCCGTGCAAAAATCGTAGTAGGCATCTTGTTGGGGAGGACTGTTGCTCTAGAGAAGATGGAATTTCAGTACAGACAAATGTAAGGTCCTGCTTTTGGCATGGAATGGCCCTCTGCTGCTTAAACTGAGGACTGGCTAGAAAGCAGCAGCAGCTCTGTAGGAAGGAGCCTAGGGGTCCTTACTGTGTGATCTGCTAAGAATGAGTGAGTAGTGCATCCTTCCAGAAACAAAGGCCAACTTTAGATAATTAATCAAAGAAGATAATTATTCCTGTTTGACATTTTGAGAATGTATCCAGAATTCTGCGCCTGTCTTGGGGCTCTGCAATACAAGAAAGACTTGACTGGAACCAGTTAACAGGGTGGTCAGAGGGCTGCACCATATTGTGCACGAGGAGAGTGTGAGAGAGCAGCGTCTTAAGGCTGAGAAGGCTATAGCAAGATCTACTGTGAGAGTGAGTCCACTCTCACTGCCTGGAAAAGTCAAAACCCAGGTTCTTTTCAGGAGTGATCACAGAGAGGACAAACCAATAAATCTGCTGCAGCAAAAGAAATTTTATTTGGTGAAATTCTCACAGTATTGATCAGCATCTGGCACAGGGACCAAGAGAGGTTGTGCAGTCATCATTCTTGAATATTCAGTGCTTAGCTGGATAAGGCCCTTGCCAGCCCTAATGTTTGCTTGAAGTTAACCCTGCTTCAGACATGGGAGTTGGGCACAGGTTTGGGCTAAGTTATTCTCTGGTCTCGGAAAAGCAAATTTATGTGGTTTTACCATCATGCAGGCATTGTAGTACAGTGATTACCCCAGGAATTTATTTCCTTGTGTGGGTATTCAGAATGGAGCTTCTGGCTATTTGTGATTCTCAAATAATCTTAGTAAGGTTTTTTGAGGTTTTTTTGGTTTTTTTTTCAGGGGTAAATTTGTTCTTTCCAGTGTTCACAGCAGCTTCCAAGCACAAGTTTTAGTCTGGCTTTAAACTCAGATATTTCAGCCTAAGTTCCATGTGTTTGTGTGCCCTACCTTGGTGATTCTGAGGAATTACTGCTTTTTGTTCTGTGAATTCTCAATCTTACTGTTAATGAGCAATCTTTGTGAACTCTTTATAAAAGTACTTGAAAGTCCACAGATGAAAGGAGCTTTTCAAATTCAGATCACATTGTTAAAGTTTGTTTATGAAAAGTATGAAACCAAAAAGTGCTTATGAGGGAAGTGCTCTTTCTGGATAAGCATACCTTTTTATGTTTATGCCCAGAAACCTGCACTGATTTTTTTTCTCTGAGCCTTTTGAAAGTCTCCAGCACTGTGTAGTGGTTTTGGCACTGGGAAGGACATGCAGTGCATACTAGTAATACTCTGGTGGTGGTGCTTGAAGAAAAGTGATGGGTTTTGTAGGCTGTAGCTCTGAGATACTTTCTTTTTTCTTCCTGTAGACTGGTCTGAGCAGCAATAAATTCTCTCTGTCCAAGACTGTTCCCCTGACTAAAGTGGTCCAGAACGATACATACACAGCTCCACCTGCAACCCTCCCTCCTATGCGGACAAAGGCCTTGGCAAACATGTCCCGGACCTTAGTGACAAAGGAAGTGCCTCCAAAAGAGCCAGCACCTGTTGAGGTGAGCTCAGGGAAGGGGAAAATGCTCTTTATAGAAGTCTCTGAAACATCTGAAACTTGTTCATTGGACATGTGAGCAGCTCATTTTTTCCTGGCTTTCATCATTAGTTCTGGGGTGTCATCAAGGTTATTCTGATAACTGCAGTCTGTGTCCCAATAATTTGAAACCTGTGTAAACATCCTTTCCCTGCACATGATCCTGGAGGAATCCATATTATAGGGAGGTGTTAGTTGTTGTTTTATACACTCCTGGGTGGCTTTCATGTCCCTAGGAGTAGTGTTTTAACACTGTTTGATGCATTGTATGTTGCATGTCCACTCCACCTAGCAAGGAGAAAAAAGAGTTATTCCAAATGTACACATTTTCATGTACACATGAGACCTCCCAGGCAATTTGTAGACAGCCTGCCTGGAATTGCTTTGCCAAACTGCCTGATATTGGGTACAAGTAACCCACCAGGTGTTCCTAGGTGTGCTGAGTTCAGCATGCTCTTGAGAGGCTGGAGCTGTGTATTGGAGTTTGCTGGCTGGTGTAGAGTACAACAGAGACAGGCTATTAAAAGTGTGGGCATGACCAGAGTACTGTGTATGCTGATTTGGTTAATGTTATTCTTGAGAATAAGAGTGAAAAGTTATTTCAGAGAAAAACTAGCATGGAAAAGAAGTTCCTTTTCGCTGTCAGATGAGCTGGGCTTTAGTAAACATTGATATTTCCCATTACTAGCTTTAGCTTTCTCCTTTGTGTGTGTGTACAGACATTCCCAGACATATCCTTAGAGACTTTTCATTGCTTTCTCTGCTGTGCTGTATTTTGTGCCATATTTCCGTGATGCATTTGTTTGTGTTGGCAGCTGGCGTTCAGTCCTTTGGAAGGCACAAAGATGACCGTAAATAATCTGCATCCTCGAGTCACAGAAGAAGATATTGTTGTGAGTGTTGCTTACTGCCAGACTGTGCATGAGTGACACTTCCTTTCTGTGTCCTACCTCTTCTGATAAAGCACTTGATCTATGGTGAATGCAATGAAGAGGGGTGTGATGTGGGTTTGCTGTCCATGCAAAAACTTAGAGGGTTCCTGATTGTTTGGGGACACTTCTTGCTTACAAAAAGTTTGTTTACACTTTTTTTAAAAAGTGTGTGCATAAGAACATGGGACAAAATCCCACAGAGTATTTTGAGATACCTGACATCACGTAGAAGAAGAGCTCACACCAAATGATTCTTCTACCCAAATTTATGCCCCTATCCAAATTATCTAGGGGCTTCCATTCTCACCGGGCTGAGAATGAATCTGGTCTTTGTGCCTGAAAAACATTACTGGGTACTGGCCTTGAACTTCCCTGCTCGTGTGCTCTCTATTACTAGTGCCAAGTACTTATACCATAACAAACACAGTAAGACAAGTGTCCAGATCCTGTCAGGTATTGAATAAGCAGGATGGGTGGTGTGATGAAGCAAGTAAACCCTTCCCACGCGGTGCCTTTGATGTGACTATGGTCGTGACTGACTCTCTGCCCTCAGGAGTTATTCTGTGTGTGTGGCGCTCTGAAGCGAGCCCGGCTGGTGCACCCTGGCGTGGCTGAGGTAGTATTTGTGAAGAAAGAAGATGCTATCACAGCATATAAGAAATACAACAACAGGTGTTTAGATGGTAAGTTTGATGCCAGAGTTGCATGTAGGATAAATAAATCAAGAATGGCTTTTCCACTTGAGCGGAAGGTTTAAAAGTATCTTAGATGTTATTATGCTAGCAAGAGAGAATTACCAGAAAATCAGTTCAAGAGCTAGAGAAGACAATTATTGCTGTGTAACTAGCTGAATATATGCACAGTTTATTTAAATGCAATTAAAAACCCCACCCACATTTTCCTAGAAAAAGAAGGTTGAGAGCTGGAGGCAGGGTCCTGCTCTAACTTTCAGATGAAATTCCTTGTGTTTCTGATTTGGTACCAAGAGCTGGAAAGTTGTCACAGTTGAGACAGACAATTCAAAGCAACACACTCCATTTTCAGAAGACTTCAAACTGTTTTTTATTATAGCATCCATGCTTTTTACACATTCTTACTAAACTCATAAGTTTACACTTTACTCATTGGTCACAAGAGGCAAAGTGCTTATTGGAATAGGCAGTTGCAGGTTTCTCTTATTTATCCTTCTTTCTTTCTTGGTTTCTATGTCAACGACCTTGGTAGAAAATTCTTTCAGGGGTAAACATGGATCCTCTTATCAAACATCTCTCTGGCTCACAGAAGTCGCTGTAAAATCTCTTCCACAGAAAGTCCTTAGGAAGGCTTTACCTGCTTGCAGAGCTGCTTGCAAAGTACAAGTAAAACTAGTATTTGCAATAGTTTCAGGGTATACTCAGAAACATTTTGAATTGGACTTGTAAAATAGTATCAGATTCTCCATAAACTTTGAATAATGCAATTTTATATTTTAACCATGTTAAACTGAAATTATTGTTGAACTGTTAATTTTTAGCTGGAAATAGGTGCTTTTTCTTTCTTTAGGTGAGTGACGTGTTATGGATGTCAGATGGGGAGCAGACAGCTAAGAATGGGGCACTTATGTCACTTGTGTCCCTGCTAAGGGCTTCATACTTGTGTCCCTGCTAAGGGCTTCATACTACTGTGTAACTCGTTAATTAGTATGATCCTTCCTATGGTACGGAGTGTTACAGTGGCTCTTCTGTTGCTCTGATTCTGCAACAAAAGATTATCAGCTGTTTTTTCTCATGTTTTCCCAGCATGTTGAACTCTGTTGCTTGCACTGTTGTGTGATGTTTCAAGGATCTTGCCTTACCCCACTTCTGATAGAATGAATTTTGTGTTTTGTTTTTATATAGGTCAACCAATGAAATGCAATCTTCATATGAATGGGAATGTCATCACCTCAGACCAGCCTATATTGCTGTAAGTGTCCTTCAGTGGGGAAAAGGTCCAAATGCTTTTGGAGGTTCTATTTTGAGAATTATTGTCCCTTGAATTTTCTTTCTCTCTCCTTCTGTGGCACAATATGTTGAGTGGAGTGCAATGTAGCTTGACTACATAGTGTTCTCAGCCTTGAGGCTCAAAAATAATCTAAGATGAGGATATTTTCTTGTGAGAAAAGCATATTTAAAACCTTTATCTCTGATGTTGGTAAGGGGGAAACACTGATAACAGTAAATGCAGACACAGTGTTAAAACTTATTTCTCATAAAGAGAGGTTAAATACTGCCTTTTAAATTCTTTTTTTTAATCCTCCAGCCGATTGAGTGATACCCCTTCAGTGAAGAAGGAAGGGGAACCACGCCGGTCAAGTGCAAGCGCGTCCTCAAATCCCCCAGCTGAAGTGGACCCTGAAACTATCTTGAAGGCACTCTTCAAATCCTCAGGGGTCTCTGCCTCTGTGCAGCCCACAGAATTCAAAATTAAACTCTGAGAGGGGGGGAGCAAGCAGTGGACTGGAAAACTCATATAAGCTGAGGGATGAGGAAAGTGCAGGAGTGCAGATGTTGTTTGCATTTGCCTGTCCTGAAATTTTTTGTTTTCTATGATCGCTACCTTACTGTACAATAGTGTTTCCTCTTGTGTGTGTACTTTCTGTTTTCATAGTTGGAGTTTTCTTCCATGATTTTTTTTTCCCAAGAGAATAATCTTCCCCTTCTGCCAGTTATGTATTACCAAGCATATACCATGTAACTCCATCCTTTACTCCAAAGCCCCCAGTGGCCATTAAAAGTGCACATAGACTTTGAGGGAAGGAGTGGTGATCTCCTTCTGTTTTCTTCTGACTGACCTTTAACTCAAGGGTGCATCCCCTTGATTGTCCACAGGCAAAACACCACGTTGTTTCTGAAGTTGCTGCGCTGGGTACAAAGGCAGGCTGGGCTCCCTCCAGAAAGGACTTGTGTGCATTTGGTGGCATAACAACCATTCCTTCTGGCTGTTGGACGCTTTCCTGCTCAGCAGCTGGGACGTTGAGAAGGAGCAGGAGAAGCCGAGCTGCCCACAGTGTGCCAGCAGAGACATCAGGCAGGAGGGACGTGTGTGCGGGAGCGCTGGCCATTGTGCTACAGGCAGGGCTGTTTCAGCCCTGGTAGTGCTGGAGGGTTGTTCTGGCATTTGTACAAGGAATATATTTGCTCTGGAGAGTCAGGCTCAGTTGCTCTGCTCTTTCTGGACTTAAAAATTAAGAACCAGTCGTGTTCAGAGCTAGAAGAAACCCAGTTGTTTGACTCCCATTAGATTGTATTGCCTCCTCCTGCTGATGCACAGACATGAGTTTCTTCCTTGCCTTCTAACTCAGCCAGTCTCCTATAGAAAGGAATACCTGAGACCCTTTTCAGATCCTAATACACACAAAGTCGTGTGTCTGAGAACTTTGAGAGATGCTATTTGGGCATTGTTTGGCTGCTGTGCGATTTATGCTGCTGGATTTGGAGGACGATGGCTGCAGTGTGTGGCCTCAGGGAGAGGTTTAGGAGCAGCGGGCAGCGCTGTGTAAGGAACACCGGAGAGCAGTGGCAAGTCCCGTGCAGGGCGGCGAGGACGTGGCGTGGGCCAGCGAGTGTGTGTGACAGGCCACTAGGTGGCACTTCCAGTTCTTCCCGTTGTTTGTACCGCATTGGCGCCTTGGGTGTTGAAAAGTCCCTGTAGCTCCACTCGTTTGTGTTTGTTCAGACTGTATTGGAAGAGAGGAAAGCTGAGAGCAACTTCCAGAACTGGGTTGGGGTTTGAACTTGATCCTACTAGCTGGGAGACTAACCTAATCCATTCTGTTCAGCTCTGCTGAGTAGCTCCTGTAAGTCCAGATTCTGTTTCTTGGACAACCCCATGTTTCTTTTGCTTTCTTGTTCTGTATGAACTACTTCTTCTATCTAGCTTGTGCAGACCATTCCTTAATCTCACTGTGTCCCTTTTAGCCATGGAAATAATAAGGACTTGGCAGGACTTGTTTTTCTGGAGTACTCTCTTTGGTTTGAAGGGCAGTGACACCATGATTGGTGGGGTGCTTCATGTGAACAGCAGATGTTGGTAGGGGAGGGGACCTAAGACAGCTATTGTTCTCCTTTTTTAGATTGCCCACCAAATACATGTGTTTTAATTAAAAAAAAAAAAAAAAGGCGGGAGGGAGGGGGAGGAAACATTAGGGATTGGAGAAGATAATGTATTACCTGTTTCTGAATAAAGGTTTGTTATACAGAGAGTGGATTCTAAGCCTTTTTAGATGCTGTGAAGCAACTAAAGATAAGTGGTGGTGTTCCAGTATTGAGTCAATTGCTCTTTCTAAGTGAACGTGGAAATTTCAAAACTGATAATGTGGTGAAGAGCAAGAGGAGCTTATGGGTAAGAGAGCTGTTACTCATCCACCTTTTAGTCTGGATCATACAAATTAGCAGCTGACTCCTGCTAGTAAATTGAAGCCGTTTATGTGCATGTAATTCCAATTCTCTTTTTACAGAAAAAAAAAGTAGCCTTTGTTACTGACAGCCTAGTAATTTAAAAAGTAATTTTATAGCAAAAACAGCTCTGAGATCAAGGTGCCTGTTCTAGGTGAAGTGGATGCTTTCATTATCAGCTAGACAGCTGTGTAAATGTGAAACATGTATTGGGAGTGCATCTCTTGCCTCTTGTGAAAGAATGGGGAGACTCAAGGATTTTTTAGATTAATAGATTCGTGTCCGTCTGAAAAGCCAAGTAACAAGATGCATTTTAACATACTGTTAAACTCTGCCTTGTGTTTAGGCTATCTGAGAGTTTATGATGACATTGAGATACTTCCTTGGAAGAAGTACTGTCTGCTCTGTTCCAAAGCTCTGTGATCTATGGCACCATATTCTTATTTTTTACAAATCAGTGAATTAAGTGGGTGTCCAAACACAATGTCTTGGTGTACATCGGTGTTCTGGTCTTGGTCAGCTCTTTAATGCACCATTGCATGGCTGCTTCTGCTGGGCACTGAAACAAGAGTAACTGTTTATTCCCGGTTCTTATCTGGCTATTCCCAGTCCTTTTCAGGTAGTTCGCCTTGGTTCTCCAGTTTCTCCTGGATATCCTGCAATTGTCATGCTAATCATGATTTCGAACCTACCACCTTCTGTCTAGATTTATCATCATGCAACATGGTTATATTCTTGTGTTGTTTTGGGGGTTTTTTTCCTTCTGGGCTGGCAGAAATGATAAACTTGCATTTGAAATACTAATTGCCTCCACTCTGAATTCATGTGCATTAATTTAGACATTAAATTAAATGGCTGGCCAGGACAGGTGGTAGGTAATTTGTAATGGTGTTTCTTTTGTTTATTTTGGATTTCTTTCTTTTATTTCAAAAACGTGAGGACTTCTGAAGTGATGCCACAATGTGCAAGTTTGGTATATTTTCATGGCTTTTGCATGTACCTTCCAATAATGATCACTAACTTGATATTTGGTTGGATCAATTCTCCATATCGTGTCATATTTTGTCACCTCCTACATTAGCCTTGCTTCAGTATTTTTAAAATGGTTCTGTCTTCCATTACAAGTTCGTCTGCAAAGGTTTTTTGAGTTATTTTAATTAACAAGAGTCTTTAAAAACAATTCCCTTTGAATGTTTCTTCATCTCTTTAATATTTACTTGCCTCTCTCAGATTACAGACACTGCGTGAGTTTTACACTCAACCTCGCGGCTGCGGCGAGTCCAGCCGCCGCCATTAGCGGGGCCGCGCCGCGCCCGGGGAACTACAGCTCCCGGCGGCCCCTGCGCCGCCGCGCGCAGACAAGATGGCGGCCGCCACGGGGCGTGCGGCGGGAGCGGTGCCGGCGGGATACACGGGTGAGGGGCAGCGCGGGGCACCGGGAGCGGCGCCAGCGGGATACACGGGTGAGGGGCAGCGCGGGGCACCGGGAGCGGCGCCGGCGGGATACACGGGTGAGGGGCAGCGCGGGGCACCGGGAGCGGCGCCGGCGGGATACGCGGGTGAGGGGCAGCGCGGGGCACCGGCATACGCGGGTGAGGGGCAGCGCGGGAACGGGGCCGGGGCGTCTCAGAGCGGTGCGTCCCTCGCAGCTCTGGCGGTGAAGTTCGCGGAGCGGCAGCGCTCGTACCACTGCCTGTTGGTGAAGGAGCACCAGGTGCGGGAAGGGGCCGACACCGCGCACCCGCCTCGCCGCACCCTCTTCGTCCTCAACGTGCCCCCGTACTGCGGCCCGGTGAGTGGGGGCGGCTGGGGGCCGAGGGCAGGGCTTGGGGGCCTGGAGCCGGCGTGTGCCTCGGGGCTGCTGCGGGCGGAGGGCCGGGCTGGGGCCGGGGAGCCGCCCGGAGAACTGTGCGGGCTGTTCGAGGGAGGCATCGCTCCTGCTTTACTGAACCGCGTGTTTTCTCTTACTCTCCCTTTTAAGGACTCTTTGTCTAGGCTGTTCTCCCGCTGCGGGCATGTGCAGTCTGTGGACATCTGTGACAAGCCAGGGCCAGGAGAGAAAAAAGATAAACTGGCATCGAAATTCTTTGACCACAAAACTCTAAAGGTAAAGCTTGGGCAGGGGAGAGGAATCCTGATAGTTCAGTGGGAAAAGATGGCAAGTACTGAATGGTTCTCTTCAGAACACGAGGCACAGGAAACCATATGGGGCATTGGGTGCATGATTACTTACTTAAGTTTACACGGTCTTTTTTTTTTTTGCTATCCTACTGCCCCTTGTGGTTTTTTTTTTTAAGTTATTTGTACTGCAGTTCCTTGCTCCATTGCCAATTTCTCTTACATAATCTGACTCACCTGTGTGGTTTTTTTTCTTTTAGGGATTTCAAGTAGCATATGTGGTGTTCAGGAAACCAGCAGCTGTCCAGGCAGCCAAGGCTCTATCACAGGAAGGTCCCTTGCTAATATCAACAGAGAGCCACCCTGTGAAAACCGGCATTAGCAGTATGTCAGCTCTGGCTATCTTTCTGTGGGCTAATGGTGGGCAAGAACTATACTCATTGCTTGCTGAATTCTACCCTGCATGTCCCATTTTGTTCTAAGCTGGGGGATGTTCAGTGTTCAGTGTTCTTTTATTATTCACTGGGTAGCAATCTTTTTGAAGTCTGGTCCAGTAACCCTATGGAAGAGTGGGGACACTTGGAAGGGTCCTTTTTTCCTGACGTTTTTCCATGTCCCTATTGCATAGATTCAGAGATACTGTCTGAATCTTGTCCTCAAAATGGAGACCAGACTCCTACAACAGGCCCCAGATGTCTGTCAAGTTGACAGCACTTCACATGTAATCGCTTGATAGAAGCACACCCCTGAATTTTGTGCCCCTTAGGCTTAAGGCTAGTCCACTTCTGCCTGGGCAAGTTGCAAACTCTTCCCATGGCATATTGATTGTGCTCACAGCCGAGTCTGTTTGAGCTGTAGCAGGGGGGAAGTTGAACACAAATGGGAACAGTACGTCCTTCCCCCATGCTAGAGTTCCCTCTAGAGCTGCCCAAAAGCACCAGACTAGCCTGCTTCTAACAGCAGTTGCTGCTGTCTTGTGCCCTCTCTGTCTCAGAGTGGATCGCCAGCTATGAGGCCTCCATCGTGGATCCAAAGGAGCTGAAGGCTGAGGTGGATGCCTACATGCAAGACTATGATAAAAAGGTGGCAGAGGTGAGGCCAGGCTAGGGAGGGACCCCAGCTAAGCAGATTTCTTGGGGCAGAGGGAAAGAAGAGAGATTTCTCAGTGTTCCAGCCATAGTGGAAAGGGCTGAGGGTCTCTCTGTTTGGCAGAGGTTTTTTTACTCCCAGTTGTTGGTGGGCAGTCAGACCCAGGCTTGGTCTGCAACACCTGGCCCTTCCCCTAGGGCTTACAACAGATAACCACAAATAAATTGGTTTGTGGCTGACGAGCTGAGAGCTGAATGCCTGCAGCCCTGATCCCATGCCTTCCTTTAAATCTTGTGTGGAAGCAGGAGCTGTAACTTTGCCTGTGTTTTAAGGGAGGGCTGTGGGGAGCTGTGCATTAGGCTGTGCATCTGCACTGGGCTGCCTCACCCTCCTGTCCTTACAGGAAGAAGCCAAAGCAGCCATGGAGGAGGGTGTTCCGGATGAGGAGGGCTGGGTGAAGGTGACGCGGAAGGGCCGGAAGCCTGGCCTGCCCCGGACAGAGGCTGCCAACCTGCGTGTGCTGGAGAAGGAGAAACAGAAAAGAGCCCGCAAAGAACTGCTCAACTTCTATGCCTGGCAGCATCGCGAGACCAAGAGAGAGCGTGAGTGTGCAAGTCTCCTATCCCTGCCTGGGCCTTGTCTCTCACACCATGGCCCGAAGAGCATCTTTCTGCCTTCAGGGGAGGTGACATCCAGCTGCCACTAAGCAACTGGCTGGCTGGATCCGAATGGCCCCTTGCTACCACCTGTCCTAGCAAAGGCTACTGGAATATTTTGTGGGAGGGTGTGGTTTTCCAAAAGGTGCTTATTCAGTCTGCACAAAGGCACCGATTGAAGGGGGAAACTAGCCAATTCCTCCCCAAGAGGGAGCTGCAGCACCACCGGAGATGAACAGCTGAGCCCCAGCTTGGCACTCAGCTGAGGTGTAAAAGGACCTGCTCTGGGAAGTGGCTGGGACTGTTGGGACTGAGCCCCTCCAGTGTGTGGAAGTGAAGCTCCCAGGAGAAGGAGATCTGTTGCTCTTGTGTGACCTGTTCTTTCTCTTTTTCTATGTTTTAGACATTGCCCAGTTGAGGAAGAAATTTGAGGAGGACAAGCAGAGGATTGCACTGATGCGAGCCCAGCGCAAGTTTCGGCCATACTAGGTTGTGCTGAGCTGTTCTTCTTCAGGTGCCTGTGTTGGAGAGAGTAGGAGAGATGCCTACTGACTCCATTTGTCAAAGGATTTTGAGGAATTAAGGCAGCTTTGGGTTGCCTCTGCCTTTGGATCTGAAACGGGAGGTCCCAGCAACTGCTGCTGGAGGAGAGTTCCCTTTACTTGCACCAGTATCTTCCTGCTCTTTTGTCATTCAGCCCCATGGCACCACTTCTCAGGGTGCTCAGGTCAAGGGGCTGAGGCATATCCTGTGACAACCTGTATCTCCCTGCCACCCAAAACTACACCTCCTAAAAGTTGGTGAAAACTGGGATTGATCTAGCACAGCCCCTGCAGGGGCAGGGAATGGCTGAAGAACTGTAAATAAACTGTTGCTACTGTTTTCAGAACATGGGAATGCTTCTCTCTCCCCTCTGGTCTCCTGTGGGAAACAGCTTCCTGTGTGCTGGGGTGGTGGTAAAAATTCTGGCTTGTAACCTGGTGCTCCTTTGCACATTTTTTTGAAGGAATGAGGAGGGAAGTGACTTTAGGAAAAACCTAACTGTGACTTGTCACAAGGAAAGATCAGTGGTTTGGTAGAGAGCCCTACCCCTTCTCTTGGTGATTCCCTCCGTGGCCAAGTGTTGCAGTGCCTAGTCATCCAGCTGTGCATGGAGCTCTGCAGCCATGTCTAGGCCATGGGAATTTCCTAATACCCAGCACTGTTGCAAGAACAAATGCCACTTTGAGCAGCAGGTTTGAAAGGAAAAACCAGACTCTCCACGCCCTGTTTCCACTTAACCTGTCCCCAGCCCACAGAAGGCAGGTAAGGATGGCACCAGGCATGTTTAGGTGTGGGGCAATGGTTTTGTGCTGCTCCTATAGCATTTGTGCAGCTCTGGAATAGTGGGAGGTCTGTGATCAAAGTAACCCACCCAGTCCCAGGCTTTTACACATTTATTTTACAATCTGCAGCCTCACTAGAGATGTGACCATGAATGTAAGGTGGAAACGGTGGTAAATTCCAGAGAGCTGAGATAAAATGTATTTACCCTCTCCTAAAAAACTGACTGCAAATACAGTTTGCATTGCTTGCAGAGATGACAGGCCTGCCTGCTTCAGTGGGATTTTGCATCAATTTAACTGGGTGGCAGATCCTTAATAAGGCCTACCTAAGGCAGACAGTGTGTAAAAATGCTGCCTCCCAAGATGCATTTTAGCTGCCTGGGTGAGCGGCCTGAAAGAGAAAGGAGGTTTGTTCTATAGAGTCAAGAAGATGGACTTAACATTGGAATATTAATCTTTATTTAGGACAGAAATTGTCTCTGCCAACTTTTCCATAATTTGTAGTTCTCCCAGCTGCTTCAGATAGAGGATTAAGGATTCTCTAACATTCATTAAAATGGCCTTCTCTGCACGGGTGAGCTCTTATTTAAGCTGATTCTTAAACAGTAGTTCTCACAATGGAACAGAGACACTGAGGCCCTCTAAGCTCAGGCATCTATGGAAGTAAGCAGAGAAACAGAACACTTTCCTTGTTTTTCAGCAGGTTAAATCCTGGGAGCAGCCTGTCTGCACCATCCTCAGGTAGGAGGCAAGATGAGCCACCTCTATTGCAGTGCCAAAGCTGGGGAGCTGCTGCTGTCACAGATGATGCCTCTGCCTTGTGTTCTGCTCTGTTTCAGGGTACACATTTGGAGTAAGCCATGGGGAAGGCCACTCTGGGCCTCTATCCCTGTACTCACAGAGCTGGAAGTAGAGCAAGGATTCCTTCTCCCTGTGGCAAATGAGATATTTTGCTCAGGTCTCCTTCAGAGTACCCCTGGCAGACCTGCTTCCACCCTGCAGTGAGCTAAGCATAGGAAAGATTATCACAATCTAATGCTGGATGTGAAGTAGGAATGGTGACAATTCTGGAGCTTGCTTGTTAGCTCCCAGTTCTCCTGGACTGCTGCAGCTGTGAGGGCTTCTTAGAGTCTGGCCCTGGTGTTCTGTGCTGTCAGGAAGTTGCTGATGATCCCAGATACCACCTCGGGCTCATTCAGGTGCACAAAATGACTCCCAGGCACTTCTGCTAGCTGGATATGCTGGAGGGAAAGAACACAAGATGTTAAGATGTGGACCAGGAAAGTGTTCCCTGAAGCACACACTGCTGTGTGACACTCGTAGGAAGGGACAGGGCAAGTGAAGCAGGACGGAGATGGGAGGACCAGGGAAGAGCTGGATCCAGAGGGCAGTACTAACCTGGGACTTTGGCAGCAGTAACAAAGTTGACTTCCTCCCCTGACTGCACACACTCCCCCACCCCCTTCCCCATGTGAGGGCTGTGCTGTTCAGGACAAATCACCTCATGGAGGGTGTCCACCAAGGTCAGCTGCTTCCCAGCTGCTGCTCCCAGGTTGGTAGCCAATCGAGGTGCAAGGATGACATTTACTCTCACCTCTTTGAGGTTGGACTCGAATGCCTCCTGCAGGGCTTTCACAAAGTGATTTCTGCTCGGTAGGTTGTGCGGTACCAAGAGTCCATCTTGTGATCTGAAAACAACAGTGAGGCTCAGTTCAGCACCCAGTGTGCCTCCATTTGTCTTTGTGGCTGTCCTGGGCAGAATCCGTGTTCCCAAGACAGTAGGGTGACAAACCCAGCTGTTCTTTCCAGGCTGCTCATAAGCAGCAGGTGACAGGGCCATACATGGTAGTCAGAGTGCACCACACAGCTTGGCTAAGCAGCCATTTTATATCAAACTAAAAGGTGTAAAACCTTGGGTGACTGCCTAGTGGTATCAGAGTGGGGACTGGCTAAATATTGGCCTCCCAGGGCTGGCTCTGTAACTGGTCTGAAAACACCATTCCCATGCTCTGCCTTCTGCTCTTAACTTCTTCCTTCCTTAGAGTTTCCACCTCTCCCCTCAGTCCATTCTGCCTCCCTTTGCTGCTTATTTAACCAAGTTATGCCCTGCTCAGAGAGGGAGGTACCAGGGCAGTTGCCCTGGAGAAGTCAGCATTACATCTCCTGCAGAGCTAAGATCGTGCTGTCTCCTACTGTGCTGGTCATGGGACAAGCAGACATCTCAGGCTCAGTGGCATTTCTGTGGCACAGAGGACTTGACCGCAGCACAATATTACATTTCTGGACAAGCAGGAATAACCTGAAGCAGTTAGGATATTAAAACAGATCAGGGAAGTCAAAACTGTACCTCTTTTCTCAACTGCTAGCACTTCTTGTTTTCTAGACAATCTTCTAACAGCACCCCACCAGCCAAGATAGCCAGAACCCTGCACACCTTGCCCTCGAAGGAGATGGGAAAAGGCAGAGGACGACTCGCAGAACAAGCTGTGCACCCAGACAGCTTAACAACTTCGCAAGCCACTGGCCCTGTCCCCAGATCTGCTCGCCCCAGGTGCCACAGGAGAGAGCTTGCAGGAGCTTAGTCAGACCAGGGGCTTCAGGAGCAGCTGGAGGAGATGGAGACTGCTGTAGTTCCACCTGTTTGCTCAGGCAAGAGGTTTTGGAGTCTGGAGAAGGGGGCAGGCTGGGTTCCTGACTGGGGTAGAGTCAGGTCAGGAGGACAGCAAGCAGGTGTGGTGCTGTGGAGGGTCACGTATTTGCCAGGGTGGCCCCTTGCTGCAGTGCCAAGGAATGGAAAGTTGTGAGGTGGGATTGTGAAGCCAAGATCATGGGGAAGATGGGGCAGGACTAACATTTCCTCAGTCAGCCTTGCACCAGGGAGTCCCAGCCTGAAAGCAGAGTGCCAGGCTGGGAGGATGTTCCAGTTGCTGTCTGCCTTCTCCAGGAGCCTACCCAACTGAGGGCAGTGGTGGGGAACTAGGAAATACTTTTCACATGTGAAGCTGTACTGTTACACCAGCTGGCCAAAAGCCTGGATGACTAGTGTAGAGGAAGGGGTAGTGGAGGACTCCTTCCTAGCCTTCATTCCTTCCACTGAGGGAGATAGCAAGGGTTGGTACGGTTTGCGCCTCACTCACATAATGATGAGAACACGGTCCTGGATCTTCTGCAGGAGCTTCACACACTGCTCCACTGTGAAGAACTCTCGACTCTGCTGCAGGTGCAAAGAGAGTGAAAGTGTCAAAACTCAGGGACAGCAGCTGGGGGCAGAGGGTGTCCCCAAGCTCTCCTGCACAAGTAGCTCTGAAGGTGGAAGTAACTGTGGCCCTGAAGCTTCCATGCTGGGACATGACAAGCATCCAGGCTGCACACAGGAGTAGATGGCTCTGCAAAGGCTCCTTCTGTCCAGCTGTGTTTCAGGGCTGCCAACAACATTGCCTGCTGGGCTGCAGCACATATGGGAATGATCTCATAGAGAAAAGCTTTAAAAATCATTTTACTAAAAAAGAGAGAGTACATTACCGTGGCTTCCATATCTTGGCAGTAGCACAGATAGAGGAAGCCCTAATTGCTTAAAAGTGGCACAAAACTATCAAAATAGCAAACCTAAGGACTTTGTTCCACTCTCCTTCTTATTCAGGTCACCTGACAAGCTGACAGAAAGCATCCATCCATCTGCTGCCTGAAGAGTTATAACAGTAGGAAAATGTGGCCAGGAGGCCTTGGGGCAGAGGAACTTCTAAAAAAACAAACAGTAACATTTTCCAGTGACTCTGTAAGCTGAATCAATGATCAAGTGCAGGCTCTTTTAAAAGCAGCATTTAAAGGACATGTGGGAATTCGGGAAGCAGAAAGTAAGCAGCTGGGTGGAGGCAGGGCCTAGCTCAGTGAGCAGGCATCCTCTGTGTGAGTGTTCTGTAAGCTCAGGGCTCCGAAGTAGCAGGGGGCATGTCAGAAGAGCAGTGCTCACCGTACGGACTCTCATGTCTCTGTTATACACCAGTCCTGGAAAGAAAAAAACAGAAGGTTTTCTTAGGAGCAGGAGTTGTTCGGTTTTAACTCACTTTTGGGGTCTGCCCAAGACTTTCTGAGATAGGAAGAACAGGATTCAAATTTCTCCTTTTTTAAAAATTTATTTTCTTTAGCTGTTTTAGGATTTGAGCACCAAACCCAGCTGCGGGGAATGGAGAACTGTGCCTCCAGACTTAATTGATCCCATCCAGGCTGTGTAAATCTGTAGCTAGAGCACCCTGTACCCTGAAGAAGACAATGGCTGTTGGCACCAGTCCCTTCCCACACCCAGCAGTGGCCCAGCACCACACAGCCCCTTACCAGCGGGTGTCTCAGTTGCTCCTCGCTGCAGCAGGATTGCCCCACCCTCTGCTGTCAGATGGCTGTTTGCTTCTAAAAGCCTGAGGGAGACATGGCAGAGAGATTGTGACACTGGAAAAAGGGATGAAGTGAAGCAAAAATGCCATGACAAGGTGACAGTGAGCTCTTAGGCTGCTTCAGAAAGGAGCAGGAAGAAGCAGCAGCTTCTGGCAGCAGAAGCAAAAGGTCATGC